TCCTGCGCACAGCGTATAGACCTGAACACCAAAGACAGGTCCGTACAATCGACAACGCGCTGCAACCATTAGTACAGCACACTCGCCTTTCTTCAGCTAATCAGCAAAGTAGCAGCTGCATTGTACATGTGCTGTTTGGCTGTATTTACTGAGCTTGATTGTGTGATCTGTTGTAGTGAGCGTATTGTTAACATGTGGTTAATTCCAGTTTATGTTCATTTTGTGAAAACGCAGACTCGAATACAAACTAACCATCATTTAACCTGGAACCATTACCATACACGTTGTGATCACACATTGTGAATTTGCCTTTTGAACGCAACAACACATACATGGATGAAGACTGAAAGTTCTTTGTTATTTTTATTAAATGCTTTTCGAATTGATATGCTGGTTTAATGTTTAATGTTTAATGTTGCAAAAGCGTGAGTTCTGCCAACCTTTTATAGTTAGGAATTACCACACCCTTCAACCAATTCTTACTATAATTAATAATTATATTAAACATCATAATTATTATTTTGATATTATGATTTTTTTCTGATAGCCATTGCACCCATACTAAACTTTAGAGCCAGTGTTTTTCTAGCCTATATACGGTTTTGTGAATATTAATAGTTCTATTAATATTGATTACAATTAGTAATTGTGTGGCTTCACCAGTCACACACATAACAATAATAATACCAATAGGTATGCCGAATAATAGACTCTGCATTCAAAACAATGATTTAATATAAAAAGCAAACACTCATTTGTTATACCTCAGGGAGGGGTGGAAAAATATAAAAATCACAATTAAGTAAAACGTTTTTTTTTCCTGCTGACATAGACTCTTTGGCTCTGCGAAAAGAAAAACAAGTATTTGACCCCCCAGCACACCCACTTCACACTATTACACGCATTCCACCCGCACCCACCCCCCCCCGGTCTTTCCACCAGCTGCCGGTGTCTGACAGGCCGATGATGACTGTTTTTTCCCCTCCTTGTTTTAAAGTATGTTGGAGCAGATGGCCTGGAGAAGCAGAGTGGGGGAATGTGTTGGAGAGACTGCTGGGGAATGTGCCAAGTGTGTGTGTGTGTGTGTGTGTGTGTGTGTGTGTGTGTGTGTGTGTGTGTGTGTGGGTGTGTGGTGTGTGTGTGTGTGTGTGTGTGTGTGTGTGTGTGTGTGTGTGTGTGTGTGTGTGTGTGTGTGTGTGTGTGTGTGTGTGTGTGTGTGTGTGTGTGTGTGTGTGTGTGTGTGTGTGTGTGTGTGTGTGTGTGTGTGTGTGTGTGTGTGTGTGTGTGTGTGGGTGTGTGTGTGTGTGTGTGTGTTTGTGTGTGTTTGTGTGGTTTCTGTTCGCGTGCCTTCTCCCTGCCCTCTGCCCTTCATGGCGCCAGCTCTACTTCCCCTCCACTCTAAACATCTGGTGTCTGGAACTTTTAGAACTCATACATGCATAAATGTGCTTCCACACACATACACACACAAAGCAGAGAGAAACTGCCCAGAAGGAAGAGAAAAGCTCTCAGCTACTTTGAATCTAAAAGAGCAACAAGAGTGCATTAGTCCACAAACATAAAATAAAAAGGGCAAGCTGCAGAATGTTAGACCTAGAATTAGGCTTAACTTTCATTTTATCAACAACTCCAAGTATAAAACATTTCCTTTCATCGATTACAACCCATAGCAATTATAAAGTACATTTGATATATAGCATGGCTCAGAGAAAGTGTGTTCAAAACAAACTTGAAATTGATTATCAATGGATAATAAGGCACAGGGGGGGGGGGGGGTCCTTAAGAGTTTTTAAGGATTCTCAAATAAAAGCATAAATAAGGCTTGCTATTACTTTCACTATGATGGCTCACTAATGATGACTCACTAATTAATGTGCATACAACAACAAACCCCCCAGTGTCAGTAGCCTCTGAACGTCTATCCACCACGGCCTGCACTGAATGACAAGCAGGAAATGTGTTGTCCCTGTGTCCACTTAAAATCAATTCAAACACCATGAAACCATGCCATCTGATCAACAACAAAGACCTGGAGGACATTATACAACATCTGAAATCCTCCTCATGCTGCCTTGATATTATACCAACAGGCTTTTTCAAAAAAGGTTTTTCATTGCATGGCCTCAGATCTACTTCATATAGCAAACAAGTCCTAAAAACTGCAGTCATTAAACCGCTCTTAAAAAAGTATAATCTAGATGCTTCAGTAATGAACAATTACAGGCCCATATCAAACCTTCGATTTCTAAAATCATTGAAAAAACTGGGTGGGACTTTCTGATAGTTCTAAATTGGTTTGAATCCTACTTAAAGGACAGAAAAAATGTTGTTTCTACACATCTGAGTTATGACAGATATGACATGTGGGGTTCCTCAAGGCTCCATCCTGGGGCCTCTTCCCTTTAACATCTACATGCTACCACTGGCTCAGATAATGAAGAACAACAAAAGAAGTTACCATAGCTATGCGGATGATACATTTACATAACCATTTCACCAGGAGACTGGATGTTACAATTCAAACACTGAGTAAATGCATTGAACAAATCAATGACTGGATGTGTCAGAACTTTTTCTTCAATTAAACAAAGATAGAACTGAGGTAATTGTTTTTGGAGCAACGGAGGACCGGATAAAAGTTAGCGCTGAGCTTCAGTCTGCAATGTTCAAAACAACAGAAAACGGCAGAAATCTAGGTGCAGTCATAGTTTCCGAAATTAATTTCAACAGTCACATTAAGACAATTACTAAGTCAGCCTACTATCACCTAAAGAATATATCTAGGATTAAAAGACTAATGTCAAAGCAGGAATTGGAAAAAGTTGTCCATGCTTTTATCTTCAGTAGACTGGACTACTGTAATGGTGTCTTCACAGGTCTCACTAAAAAATCTATTAGAAAGCTGCAGCTGATTCAGAACGCCGCTGCTTGAGTCTTCACTAACACTAAAAAAGTAGATCAGTCCAGTTCTGAAGTCTTTACACTGGTTCCTCACTAACACTAAGAAAGTGGATCAGTCCTGTTCTGAAGTCTTTACACTGGTTCCTCACTATCACTAAGAAAGTGGATCAGTCCAGTTCTGAAGTCTGTACACTGGTTCCTCACTAACACTAAGAAAGTGGATCAGTCCAGTTCTGAAGTCTTTACACTGGTTCCTCACTATCACTAAGAAAGTGGATCAGTCCTGTTCTGAAGTCTTTACACTGGTTCCTCACTAACACTAAGAAAGTGGATCAGTCCAGTTCTGACGTCTTTACACTGGTTCCTCACTAACTCTAAGAAAGTGGATCAGTCCAGTTCTGAAGTCTTTACACTGGTTCCTCACTAACACTAAGAAAGTGGATCAGTCCTGTTCTGAAGTCTTTACACTGGTTCCTCACTAACACTAAGAAAGTGGATCAGTCCAGTTCTGAAGTCTTTACACTGGTTCCTCACTAACACTAAGAAAGTGGATCAGTCCTGTTCTGAAGTCTTTACACTGGTTCCTCACTATCACTAAGAAAGTGGATCAGTACAGTTCTGAAGTCTGTACACTGGTTCCTCACTAACACTAAGAAAGTGGATCAGTCCAGTTCTGAAGTCTTTACACTGGTTCCTCACTATCACTAAGAAAGTGGATCAGTCCTGTTCTGAAGTCTTTACACTGGTTCCTCACTAACACTAAGAAAGTGGATCAGTCCAGTTCTGACGTCTTTACACTGGTTCCTCACTAACTCTAAGAAAGTGGATCAGTCCAGTTCTGAAGTCTTTACACTGGTTCCTCACTAACACTAAGAAAGTGGATCAGTCCTGTTCTGAAGTCTTTACACTGGTTCCTCACTAACACTAAGAAAGTGGATCAGTCCAGTTCTGAAGTCTTTACACTGGTTCCTCACTGACACTAAGAAAGTGGATCAGTCCAGTTCTGAAGTCTTTACACTGGTTCCTCACTAACACTAAGAAAGTGGATCAGTCCAGTTCTGAAGTCTTTACACTGGTTCCTCACTGACACTAAGAAAGTGGATCAGTCCTGTTCTGAAGTCTTTACACTGGTTCCTCTCTAACACTAAGAAAGTGGATCAGTCCAGTTCTGAAGTCTTTACACTGGTTCCTCACTGACACTAAGAAAGTGGATCAGTCCAGTTCTGAAGTCTTTACACTGGTTCTCACTAACACTAAGAAAGTGGATCAGTCCAGTTCTGAAGTCTTTACACTGGTTCCTCACTGACACTAAGAAAGTGGATCAGTCCTGTTCTGAAGTCTTTACACTGGTTCCTCTACTCCCCAACCCAACTAAGGCAAAAGTGGATCAGTCCTGTTCTGAAGTCTTTACACTGGCTCCTCACTAACACTAAGAAAGTGGATCAGTCCAGTTCTGAAGTCTTTACACTGGTTCCTCACTAACACTAAGAAGTGGATCAGTCCAGTTCTGAAGTCTTTACAACTGGTTCCTCACTAACACTAAGAAAGTGGATCAGTCCAGTTCTGAAGTCTTTACACTGGTTCCTCACTAACACTAAGAAAGTGGATCAGTCCAGATCTGAAGTCTTTACACTGGTTCCTCACTAACACTAAGAAAGTGGATCAGTCCAGTTCTGAAGTCTTTACACTGGCTTCCTGTCTGTCAAATAACTGATTTCCAAATACTGCTGCTGGTTTATAAAGCATTGAATGGTTTAGGCCAAAAATACATTTCTGACCTCCTGCTAAATTATGAACCATCCAGAACTCTCAGGTCTTCTGGGACTGGTCTGTTTTCGGTCCCCAGAGTCAGAACCAAACATGGAGAAGCAGCGTTCAGTTATTATGCTCCAAATATCCATATTATTGACTATATTAAATAACTTTTATTGATAGAAGTTTCAGCAAATTAAAAGAGAACATAGGGAGGCTTCTTACGATAATCTTATCAAATATAAAGCAGAAAAAAACATGTGCTTTATAGGTTTCTTCCTGTAGCAGTCGCCCCAGCCACGATTGAGAAGCAGAGAATGAATGTTATATAGAGAAGGCAGCCTCACCTTCCTCTTCTTGCTCCTCCCCTCGGCTTGCAGGGTCCTGGTGCACTGCTCCACACACTGAGAGAAGCTGACACTGTCGCAGTCTGAACTGTAGTCCAGCTCTGCCAACTGAGCCAGAGACAGGATGTAGTTGCAGGCTATACGTAAAATTGCCAGCTTGGATAGCTTCTGCCCATAAGAGTAACATGGCACCTGGAGAGAGTAGGAAATTAAGGAGATTGGCAAATATAAACATATAGCTCACATACAGAACATATTCATAAACAAAAGCAACTGAAACTGTTAGGATCTGTCTGAGTTGGTGTTTTTCTTGTCTTTTTCTATCTTTGGGTTTCCTGTTTTATTTTGTAAAGTGTTCACCCCCGTTTCCTGCCTGTTTGCTTTCTGTCTGTTTCCCTCCCTGATTACCCGATTGTGTTCACCTGGTGCCTCTGTGTTTTCTCCTCCCTCCTCACCTGTCTCGTGTTTATGTGATTAGTCCTGGGTGTATTTAAGTTCTGGGTTTTCTGTCTCTCTTTGTCGGGTTGTCTTGTGTAATGACTTGGTCTGCGGTGAGTGTTCTGTTCTGTCTCTGTATATAGTAGCCTTGAAATAAAGGATTTATTTTTGTCACTTAAATCTGCATTTGGGTCCTGCTTCCTGCACACCGTAACAGAAACAATGGGATATACTTTAAACAGCACACAAAAAATCAAATGCCCAGCACAGCGAGAAGGTTTTTCAGTTAATTCAACCCTTGGAACAACTAGAGGCCTGAGCCAGAAGTTCTTTATTCACACTTTGAATAGGTAAGTTAGAGATTTACTGTAAAGCCAGGCTGTTCAGGACGTAGACAAATTATTAAACCAGTCAATGCAGAGGTCCAAGAAAAGTGAAATGTCACCACATTTGTCCTTTCTTGCAACCATCATAGTCCCAACGTTTTTTTATTTTATTATGTCTCAACACCTTACATTATACCATAGTGAAGGGACGAGTACGCAGAAACCCTGCTTCATTGTCAATTTAGGTTCATCTGTATAAATTAAATTTTAACAAGTATGATGATATTTCTGAAATTGTTAATATTACAGCTGATTGCTATATTTGATTCCAGTTGGGGACGTTTTCTAATATGTATCATTCAATTTAACTGCCCGTTTTTGAGCTCTGACATTACTTTTATTTCCACAGATGATGTGATTTACAAACATTGCTTTCATCTATAAAAACAAAGTAGCATGTAATGGCGCATTTCCACTGCGGCGCGGAGCACGGTTTAAGCGTGCCGTGCCAAACCCGGCCCGTTTTTTGTTGCGTTTCCACTAGGGGTAGTTCCAGCTAACGGGTACTGTTTCACAGTTTTCTGGTACTCCAAAATCCAGTTTCTTTCCGGGCCAACAACCGGGCTGAGTATGCTAAACTAGAGAGAGAATCGCTGGCAAGGAGGCTACAACTACAACAAAATGAACATATTTGACCGTGATTTAATTGTAATACACGTTTCAAAATGATGCCGAAGTAACAACATACTGACACCGGTTAGTAAAAACCATGAATTAATGCTTTGACAAGTCTGCAGACAGACGGCAGGCAAAAAACCGTTTAAAATGCGTGTTTTCTGAATGGAGATCGGCTAAGCTAACACAGTATATGCTCCGACCGTCCACACTCACAACAACGGCCTACAGACATAAATAAACCAGCGACTGTATTCGCCATGACACAGACAGTCTGTGGTTTTTGCTTGTTTAACTTTTGTCTAGTTTCTGAACAGATATGAGGAGCTGTGAGCTTGAGTGCTAACAGCTAACGGCTGATGTTGGTGGAATCATTTGGAACAAGCAAAGGAATACCCCAGGGATGACATGCAAACTCTGCATGGAAATATTTGCCCTCCACATCCACATCTTCAGAGCTCATCTTCTCAGAGACCGGATTCATTTGTGAGCGAGACACAGAACACACTTCTGCCTCTCAAGGTGTGTCCCTCTCTTATAATATGGGGAGACTGGGATCAGAAGGACAAAGCAGCAGTGAGTGACAGTGAGTCAGGCAGTAGCCTAGCCTAATATATAGTATATATATATATATATAGACCTATAATATAACATTATTCTGACCGCAGTAAAAAAATAATTACAGTTTAAATTCCGTCACGAGGGCTTAATGCGCGTAGGGAGTGTTTCTGTTATAGCATGGTGGCAAAATATGTTTGCTCTTTTCACACATACATTACTGTTTAAATCTAATCTGAATGGAGTCTCTCTTTATCTCTGGTCCATACTGCTGGGCGAGCCTGATGTTGGCCTGTTGTAGGAATATTATCCAGTGAATGATACAGTACAGTGAACATGTGTTCAGGAAAACTGTGCTTCATTTCAGTTACAGACTCGGATAGTGACATATTTTCTTGACAGTGACATATTTTCTTGACTTATTTCCTGCAGAGTAGAGCGAGCATCTGCTTATTGAAGCCACCTTTAAAATATGTGTTGTTGCCGAAAGCCAAACCGTCTTGTATTTGGTTCTGTGCAATGTTTGAGCGTTTTGTTTAAGCTTTTACATAAATTGTTGTTTGTGTGTTTTAGTGTGGTCTGAGAGTCTGACCTGCTTCCTCAGGGCCTCGAACGCAGCACTGATGGTGTGGACGCGCGTCCTCTCTCGGGCGTTGGCTAGAAGCCTCCTGGTCTGCTGGACGGCTTTGACCTCATGGTGACCCCCAATATGTTTCCTGGGAGAATCCTGAAAGCACAAGGATATTTGTTTTTCTGAATCAAATGACGAAATAACAGCACAATATAATTGAAATGACCTTTAGAACAGAGATGTTCACCCACAATTCCCTCATAGGGTTAACTTGATGACACACATGTCACAAACAGTGATCTCCACCATTTCTAAGCTCAGTTATTAGGTCCTATTTTTTCCCTGCAATATTTGAAAGTAATTTGCTGACCAAATGGCGCAGACAATGTCCATATCTCTTTATGCTCAATAATAGCTCAACTAATAAAGCTCTACTAATTCTGGTGACAGAAAAATTGTAATTCCAATATCTTCTTTAAAATCCATCAGTGGAAAGTTTTATAATGTGAACAGCAACAATGAATAAGGTTGATACTGAAGTTCATAAGAGTTCCCTCGAACCAGGATTTTTAGACCTACAGATTCTCAAGTAAATATTGATATGCAAGTCTATACCTTTTCTATCTTATTGGGTGCTAGATTTTCTCTTCTCTAAGGTTGTACTGAGACCACTATTTTACATTTTCATATGCAGTTTACCAGTAATTGAATAAAGAACATAACGCGAGGTGTATAAATTGCATTTTACGACCGAGAACACTGCTTCTCTTACTCCAATCTTTTTGAGGATGGGAACTATTTAACTACATGCTTTTTAAAACATAACACTCATATTAACAACATTTCCACGCCACCACTGAAAAGCTAAAGGCCCAATAACGTTACATTCATTCAAAATGTAGCCAACACAGTCATTGCTATCTTTAGCACCACTAAACACACACTTAACTGTACCAACGGCAGTTAAGGTCAAGGAGAAAAAAAGCTGTTATTTTCATTGTAGACACTCACTAATATATTTAGCAGATAGACCAATCATAATGTTAACAGACAACCCCCTTCTACCTCTAATGCAAAAGCAGCCAATGTTTACATTGGCCGCTTTTGTCCTTAGATGAAACTTGAACAACTCAATGTCAGCTCATTTTCAGGTCATATCAGTATGTGGTGTCTCTAATGGGACATGTTTCCATGCTTTAATGTTCAAAAAGCTCTTTATTTTTCTCATACTGCCTGTGCTGCAGCACCTCTTTTCACCCTCTGTCTGAAACCAGAGCCCAGTCTGCTCTGATTGGTTAACAGTTGGAATCTGTTGTGATTGGTCAACCGCCTAGAGATGTCCAGCCCCTTAGACCAGGGCTATACAATTGGCGGCCCGCGGGCCAAATCCGGCCCCGGGGTGATATTTACTGGCCCTTTGAGTATAACGTTAAAAAGTAATCATCAAATACATTTTCTTTCTTTTTTTAAAGATTTTTTTGGGCCAGAGTGCCTTTATTCTTTTATTTATTAGAGAGGGTGTTAAATTGAGACATAGAGGGGAAGACATTGCCTGAAAACTTCGGCGGGCTCGGGTTTCAAACCCACCTACTAGCTACTGTAGTGACAACTCCTCTCATTTATTGCATCTCTGCGTGAATGATTAGATCATTTCACCTAAATTAAATCAAATGAAATGATGTTGATGGTTAAATTAGCTTCACATGTAGGCTTACTGAGTTCTGAACTTGCCATTTAGATCTCTAAAGGCCTTGGGGCTATGTTGTTTGATAAAATTAAAGACAATATATGCACTCCACTATGCTGTTGTAGTATTTACTGTATCTGAAGCTCTTAATATGATTGCTCATATTTCAAGCCATCTTTTTCCCGGCCCCTTGCTTTGGATAATTTTCATCAACCAGCCCCATTCCAAACTAATTGAATAGCCCTGCCTTAGCTTATCACATACAATTAGGGTTGGGAACCGAAACTCGGTTCCAGATGAGAACCGATAAGAAAATGCCGGGTACCGGGTACCCATACAAAATACACAATTTCGGTTCTGCTTAACGGTTCCTAAACGCGGTAGACCCTGTATTCCAGCGGGTCCGTCTGCACCGCGGTGCTGCGGTGACCCGGTGGAATACAGGGCGGACCTGGAGAATCACAGAACGGCCGGTCGTCAGCGGGCCGTTGACGGCCGACTCGGTACGCTGACGGCCGGCACCGCCCTTCATTTTTTTAAACGGCATCATATAAATTGCGCTGACAGGCGACAGAGGTCCACAGTTGCCCCGCAGCGATGCTCCCCCGCCCTCCCGTAGACATTTCACGAGCTCAGTCACTTCATAACACCAAAGATAGGTCGCGGTAAACACTCTGAAGTGAGGCTCCACTACACTAAAAAAGAAAAAGAAAAGGCAAAGTGTAATGCCTGTTAATAGCTTGCCACAGGCATAGCTCAGTTAAAATAAAGCACAGCTATTGTGCAATACATTTGTATTGCATGTATATTTTTTAGTAACAATTTCAGTTAAAGCTTTTAAGAATAAATATATTTTTGTTATCTAAACGTTTGACCTCTTTATTTTACAATTTTGGAATCGAAACGGGGAATCGATAAGAACCGGAATCGATAAGCAGAACCGGAATCGAAATCGGAATCGATAAATTTCAAACGATACCCATCCCTACATACAATGTGTTGGAGGGCTAGCCAATAGAAGCGTGATTATTACAAAGTGATGTCACTATGGTATGGAAGTAAACAAAGGAGTCCAATAGAGGCGTTTCAGGAAGGCGGGGATTGTTAGAGAAACTCCCTCTGGAGGAGACACAGGGATTTTAGCCTTAGCAGACCATTTACATGCACAACCTATATTATTACACACACAGGAAAGGGAAAACCCCTAAAAGGATAGAGCTCCTTTAATAAATTAAGATTTAATGAAGTATCCATTTTCAATATTATTGCTCATTGACTGACAGATTATTGATTTATTAATAATTTAAGAATTAATAATAGCTATTCCTCCAAGGCTATATTTTTCAGAGCATATTTGAATTTCTCCTGAATCCCAAATATTTACCATAGGTGAGTGGAGCTGGGTCTCCATAGACAGAGCCTGAGCTGACAGGCAGGGCTCCAGAGAGACGGGCTGGTGGCTGGGGGGTGGGCTGCTGCAGGTCGATGTCGACTGAAGGAAAGCGGGACGAAGGCCCAGTTTGAGTCTGTTGGACAGAGGCTGGGATATGGATGTGGGCCATTGGGAGATCTCAGAGTGAGAGAATGGAGAGGCAGGTAACTGCGACAGTTTGGAAGTGATGGCAGGCACATTAGTTCCAATTCTCATATCTATGGCACCCCCCTGGGCTGGAGACATTTCACTCTCTGGTAGTCCTGACAGAAGGGCTGTAGAACCAGCCATCCCTTCTTGTGATAGGATCAGCTGTCTCCTTAATGGTGCCAACCTGCTGAAGTGACATGCCTCAGGCAGGGTGTCATCCACTGAGTCCACATCCGACCCTGCTTGGGTTTTCATCCTGTCCGACTCGGGGCCACTATAAAGCTTTTTAGGCTCCTGAGACTTTCTTTTGAACTTCTTGTTACTGCCAGGCACCGACATTAGTACTTCGTCTTTGTTAATGGATCTATTCCAGGTATTATTCAGCGAATGAGGGTTCTTCATTTCCCGACAATTAGTGTAACCAACAGTGGAGTGAACAACATTGCTTCTTTACTGTAAAAAAAAGTCAGATGGGAATTTTCCCATGTGTTTCAGGCACAACTGTTAGTCTCAGTCTATGTGAAAGTTACCAATTCATAATATGCATAACCTGTACGAGTTTTTGTTTTAAATAATACTTCAATCCTGCAACAACAAAACCCTCATAAAGAAAACTTCAGCTGCCAACAGTGCAACACATTTCTTCAACTGAGTGCTCTGACAGGGGCTGCACAGCCGGAGAGTTACTCAAACTTCACAAGCAGATTTTCTGTGGCTCCACTCTGTCTGCATAGCAGCATCTGAATAATCCGCACATACACACATAATACACAAAGCTGTGTAACATCTGCTACTCCGCACCAGTCGTCCCTCTGGATCGAGGCTTGCAGGGAGCTTTCCTCAGCTGTAAAAGTTCCTCTCTGTGAGAGCACCTTAGAGCTGGGTGTGCAGAGGAGCTGTCTGAGAGTGGCTCCAGTCAGTCTGCATAGCTCGGATCACACACAGAGCAGTGGCTGGCAGCTCTGGAGCTAAATGATCATTCCAATTACAGTCACACTCATAACATATGGTATGTTGAACAGCTCTGAAGCTCCTCTCACAGGCACTGCTTTGTACACACGTTTTCAATGCAACTGGGGGGGAATCCAATTGGATTCGTTCCAGAATTGATCTCAAAAGTCATGAGCTGTCATGAGTGACAGCATAGGCTCCCTGCCGACAGAGTGATATGGCGAGTTTATCAACTCTATCAAACTGAGGCCAGAAACAGAGAAAGTTGTCTAACCTCTACTTTTCCAAGATGATAACATCCCCTACATGCCGCCCCAGGACATAAACATCCCTGTGCGAGGCTGAGGGTCCTTCCTGAAGAAAGATCCAATATCGCGCCTCGGTGTGTACAACGTGAACACCGGGACCTGTGTCACTCAGCCCGGTCCTTCCGCGGGTCCACCGGCCTCCGGGGTCTCGGTCTCCGGGTATAATCACAGTGAATGTGTCCACTAGCTGTCTCTGGTCCTCTCCGTAATGTCCTGCCTGTCTGCAACACAGCAGCGTGTGTAGCCGCCGTTAGAGGAGCACAGAACAGAAGGGGGGGGGGGGGGGGGGGGGGGGGGGGCTCAACTCTGCTGGCGTCTGACTGGCTGGAGCTGTCTCGAGCCCAAAACACACAACGACACACACACACACACACACACACACACACACACACACACACACACACACACACACACACACACACACAGCAAGAGGGAGAGCAGGGCCGGTTAACCAATTTGCTGCCCTAGGCAAGATTTTAGCTGGCGCCCCCCCTGCCAGAAAATCGTACAGTAGAAAAGATAAAAGTATCCAAGGAATACACAATAGAATAGATACAAAATAAATGAAAAATCTCTACAAAAGACCAATACACTACAAACAGAAACGTATTGACATAGGCAGGGTTCGAGTTATAAACTGAGCTCTATGGGGGTCTTTGAAACACTCAAACTCAAACACACACCAATAATAAACCTATGGACAGGGGTTACTATTTTAAAAAATGTGCACATGTATTTGGGAACCTATACATGTGAACATATTTTGGGGGTGGACCTCAAATCCTCAAGGGGGGTCCGGGGGCATGCCCCCCGGTAAGATATTTTTTTAATTTTTGAGTTAAATGCATTAATCTGGTGCATTTTGAGGGGGAAATAAAGAGACTAGATCTATGGAAACACCCATATGAAACATAGGCCACATCATGTAGACAGACTGTCCCCCTGTGTGAGGCAAACCCACATTTGCGCAACGTTGCGTTCACAATAGCCTACATTAAAAAAAAAATGTTCGCCAGACAATGGGGAAACCTACGGGTCCTCCCGATGGCCAGTCCGGGCCTGCCAGCAGCCCTTTACTTGCTACAAACTTAAATATGAAAAGGTTCAACTACGCACACACACATCATCTCGGCTCGCGCAGCACGCTCACAGGCATAGATTGCGCAATAATGTATTGCGCACCTTGGATGTGCAGTGCAGGCATATTGTCATTCAAGAGATAAGTTGTTCTTTTGGAAAACATGTTTTGCCTATTTACCTCGTTAACGTAAATAATACTTACATTGACACATGCATTATTTGTGATTAAAATAATGGTTGTTGGTAATGTATTAGCGACCCCCACAGATGTATGATTTCACTGCGTCCGTGGGAGCTCAGACCCCTCCTTATGGGAGCTCAGCTCCCATTGGCTCCCACATAACTCGAACCCTGGACGTAGGTAATATACATCAAAAAGGCTTCAAATGTATTCAGTATTGTATGAACATGTTTTAATTGGAGTGTGGATGTCACATCCTCTAGGGGGGGTCCGGGGGTATGCTTTAAAATGTTTGAACATTTTAAAGTAAAATGCTTCAATCTGGTGCACTTTGAGCAGACAATTACTAGAGACTAGATCTAGGGGGTACAACTCTAAACACCCATATGAAAAATATCGGTTTACATTTTAATAACCAAATATGTGAACATAACCAATAACCTACCATAGCCAATAACAAATAAATGTAACTTATTTTATTTTTGTTGTTCATTCATATCTTATTTTACCTAGTTAACATTTATTTATGCATATTTTTTTATCAAGTTTTAAACGATATGTCTGGTGTACTGTCCTATAGTATACATTGAAATTATTTCAAACCTGTTTATCCCAATAATTATAAAAGAGTGCCCTGGAAATATTTGTTTACATAAATTGTATTTATCTCTCTCGCTCGCTCCCACGCCCACTTTGGCTGTGAGCTGCGGGCGCCTGATAAGCCAACACCCCCCACTTTCATCACTTACAGCGCCCATCGTACAGGGCAAATGAAACGTGTAAACAGGGGGAAAAGGCTGTTACATTTACTTAATTATGAATATTGTTACATCAAGGCCAAAAATTAGGATGAGCGCAAACGGTCAAAAATGTTTTTTTTCCCCTCCCAGCACTGCCAGCGCAGCGCCCCCTGGATCTGGCGCCCATAGGCGACCACCTATGTCGCCTAGGCCAAAAACCGGCCCTGAGGGAGAGCCTCAGTCAGTTACAGAAAGGTGTCGGCAGCGCCCCCTGTTGGAGAGACAAAAGCCTTCAAAGCCCCTCATCCATGCTGACCTGACTGATGACATTGTTCCGTTTAGCCTACTGCCGCAGAACAATGTGTCAGCCATAAGCGTCATTTATACTGGGGACGCTGAGGACATGTCCCCTCCACTTTTGGAAGTGGCCAGTTTCGTCCCCACCACTTTGCATTAGGATCATTTGTTAAAATGATCTGAAGATAGTTTGCACAGAGAATTGTACACTTTGAGGTTTATTTGGACAAGAGAACATGTAGAGTCTGGAGGACTGTTCTCACATTCTGGCTGTACTTCTGGTAACCCAAAATGTGCAGTTTGGACCTGAGACACATTTAATATTAGTGATCATTGAATAGAGAATAGCTTTGCTGCAGCGTAGCATAGTTACTGCACTATTTCTCAAAAAAAGCATTGTAAGCATATGTATGTATAAATGTCTTGTTTGCGGGCTCTTAATGCAGTAGTGGTGAAAGTGTCCCCACCACTTTTTCTAACCAAGTGGCGCCCAGGGCAGGCTGTAGGTCTAATGTTAAGTTTCTTCCAAAAATATTTAAAGCAATACAAAACTTCCCAAAAAAATCCAGTTATTATTTTTCATGAATTGCGCCAAAAACTTTATAGGTTTACATTTATGCAAAAGAAATGAGAAATGAGAGCTACTTACCATCATTCAATCAGAGCTTTGTTTCTTCTCCTGAGGCGTTGAGTGGTGAAACTGTTTATGCTACAACAAGTGAACTTTGGGTTTCTCATGACTGTGTTCTGTGCTGCAGTTGGGGGGGGGGGGGGGCTGACACACTGACAGCTCTTCTCCTGCACAACAGGCCCCCCATGGTGTCATGGTGTCAGAGCCTGACTGCACCTCACATCCTGGCAGGCATCAATAGATTCATGAAGGGAAAAAACATGTATAAATCCGTCCACGCTGAATACTTAATGTAGCATCTGAAAGCTGTGATCTCAACAAATTCATTTTTTAAATATCCAATCAACCTTCTGTATTGTTTAAGGTCAGTCATCATACCTGAATGAATAATACCTCTGTGTTTGGAGCTGCATTCATTGTTTTTTTTGGTAAGCTCTAAACATGTCTGACATATACTCTTGATCATATACTTGATACACTCCAATACGCACTATCCGTTGAGCTCTGCTTTGGTCTCCACCAGCTCCTGTAGAACATATCTGTCTCTGGATCTGCTTTATTCTCCTCTTTAGTCACCAGCTCTCAATGACTCTGCTGTTTGTAGGTTTATTAGAATTCTTCACTGAAACTGCTGCTGGAAACAAGGTCGATAAAAGCAGAGTTTAAATTAAAAGCAACTATCTAAAGAGGCTATAATGCTGACTGCATTTAGAAATAAGTCCCCAGCAGCACTGAGCAGTGTTTGTAGTTGGTTGGTGCTGTAGCAGCCCTCAGACTGCTCTCCTGAGCTCCTCAAAGTCACATGCAGAGGCCTCAGGTGGTTGGTGGAGCCCACTCACGTCTAAAATGTATTATATTAAAAAGTGTCTTTTTTAAAATACATTATATGTTTCAAAAACATTTCTGTGTTGACATGTCTGAGTACTCTGGTGCAGACTTGACACGCAGACCCAATGGAGACAAAAGAGTAAAAGGTGCATCAGACTTGCTCTGGTCTTGCTTTGAGTCGGCAGATGCTCCACTGCATAGACTTAACAACTTCCAGAATGCAAAGTGAAGCCTTGAGGTTTAGTGCAAATCAGGTGGTTAATGGGCTTGAATGTCATTTGGAGATGAGTACGTACATCTTGGGCAGTCAGAATACAATGAATGATGACTGTTGTGTATTGGTTCCGAGTGATCAAACACAGATTTAGCATTGAATTTGATTGGATGTGATAGGGCAGAATTAAGGCAGAAACTATTAATAGGTGTCGGGCAGGAAACTTGTTTAAGCACATTCAAAATAAATACTTATACAGAAATGAAGATTCTGGGGAGTTGCCAGTATGGTGATGTCAATACCTTCAGAAATGTTAAACACATACATTCAGCATGGAAGTGTTTGCAGTTGCAGTCAGTCATAACACAGGATGTAGTTTGTACAATTGTCTTGTGATTGTTACTACAAAGTGTGCTTGTTTACTCTGGATAAAGAACCCATGGTGACAGGGCTGTCATAGTTTCACTATCTGCTAATAGCGGCCAGTATATTCCCCCCAACATTAGGAGCTGATTTATGGCTTTATGACAACAGGATCCCACCACCTGTCTTTTTAACTTCTCTACTTTCCAACCTGGACCCAGTGTCCCCATGTTTATATGTATTCATGGGGACAACATGTTTTAACAATAACAGTCTGCAATGTAATCGCTCGATAAGTGTCAGACAACATTATAGTAAGAGAAATACAATGTTTAGTTCTACATTTTGCTTCTCTGGTCTGTTTGTTATTGAGTCATGTGACTTGTTGCTGAGAGCTGGTGTCAAGCCAAGGTTATCAGATGTGTTGAAGTACAAAGAGCTTAGCAAAGTGTTGATTTGAAATGTAATGGCAGAATATTTAGCCGATTTCCATAATGCAAATGCAACACAAGATTTCAGAAAAAGACTTCTCCCTTAGCTTCTAGAGGGTCCTGTTCCTGATGTAGTCAGGCTTTTATATTACAATCAGGCCTTTCCGTGGCAGGAGCAAGCATTCTTGGACGTAAATTGAGGTCGCGGAAAAGCCCTAAGCGATTCATTGGAGTTCGTTTAGCGACTGCAGCACTCCCTCTCGATACTGAACCGAGTTCAGAAATATTAGTCATTATGACATGTGAAAAAAAGGTCCAGTTTAAAAATATCTAAGTAAGCCTTCCCAGTCCCAACTTTACCAAAAGCAACCTGTTATAATATCAGACACAGTCTCAGTGAGCTCTAAGCCAATGAACAATGAGAGTAGAGAGGACACATGAAGCAGAGCCATATGAAGAAAAACAAATATCACCTTATTTTTCACCAAATATTTCAAAATCGATCAATTTTACTGTTGACTATTGGGGGCTTCACAAATGATTTACACAATGACATTTTTGATAAATAATGAGGTTATAATGATTAAGTGGGTAAAGTAAACAGCTGAAATCTCTTTTTAGTTCAGAGAATGACATCCTTCCCCTGCAATAGAGCCTTCAAACTAGGAAAACACACTTATATATTACGATATAAGATATTACCATAGCCAAAATGTAAGACAATATCTAGGCTGATCAATTTAACATCGATACGCAGCCCTAACGAAGTAAGACGTATGCATCAGTCCTGCAGGGTGTTTCCCGTGGAGCTTCTGATTGCAGCCCCCTGCAGCTTCTTCTTGTAGCTGGGCCAGCGACACACCGGGCAGCAGTGTCTGCCGGAGGCCAGCCACACCACGATGCACTGCTGGTGGAACACGTGGCCGCAGGGCAGGGCCATCAGCAGCTCCTCACTCACAAAGTTCTCCAGACACACCACACACTCCAGACACTGCAGGACGTCCCGGGGCCACACCGACCAATCACAGTGCTGAGAGTTGGAGATGTCTTCGGATGTCAGGCTGCCGTCCTCCACCGTCCTGTCAGCTAATGGTGAGCTTCTGTTCCCATGACGACAGCAGAGTGGTGATGCAGCAGCACACACACACTCACAGCTACTGCTGGGGCCTGTGTTTGTGTGCACACACAAATGTTTACCGCTGTCCTCACTGCTCAATGAGCTCTCGTGTTTCTTGCTGCTATTTGGAGATCTGACGGGAACTGCATCCAACTGCTTCATGCTCTCTGTGTCTGAATGTGAACTATCTGTCTCTTCATCCAGCTTTACACCCCCCCCCTCTCCTCTGTCCGGACCAGCAGCTCTGAACCTCCAGGTTGGCAGGGTGTCAATATACTCCATGTTTACTAATGGGCGCAGCCAGAGATCAGGGAAAGCCAAACGCTCTAATAAAAAGTTGGGGTCGACCTCCCAGTCTGAGTAGTCAGATGGGACCTGCTGCAGCGCTGCGATTGGGTGGAGCAGATAGGAAGTGTACCAGTCCCACAGATTGGACAGCCACTCCAGGTTTGTGGTGCTGTCCTCTTGGCTCCTCACGCCACAGCGGCGTTTCTTTTCAAAGTAGTTGACGAGCAGGCCGTGAGCCAGGTAGGTGGACAGGAAGAGAGCTGGGTGGGAGGAGTAGAAGGTCCAGTCAGCTCTCACCAGGCTGGCCAGGGTGGTGGTGTCAGCATACCGGAGCAGCTTCAGACTGTAACCATACAGAGAGTCCAGGTAGGGCAGCTGGAGGAGAGCCTGAAGGAGGGACCAATCACTGATTAGTGATCAATGCTGTGATCAATTCAACTCAAGTTCAGTCAATAGTGAGGCTGGTATAATCCCCTGACCAAAGGAAAAGATAGAACCCACTGAAATCAGGACAATCCACTAAGCCATGGTTCATATCAGCAGACACACCTTGTGAATAGCAAAGTCAAATGCTTTTTGAGTGATTTTTAAAAGTCAAAAGTAGCTCGAACAACACCTCCAATCTTTTTTTACTGATACCCTTGACTCAATTGGCTTTTGTTGGAAGCGAGGGGTTCACATACTTTTCCCAAACTACACTGAATGTTTGAATAAACTATTCAATAAGGACAAGAACAAAACAATCAATTGTGTGCCATTAGTTTAAATGGATTGTGTCTATAATTGTGACTAAGATGAAGATCAGATCATTTATTGACCAATTAATGCATAAAACCAGGACATTCCAAAGGGCTCTCATACTTTCTCTTGCCACTGTATATGCTCATTCACAAAAGGATCTTGCCCATGGACACATTAAAGCCTCTCTATCTCCAGAGCAACAGAATGTATCAACTGAAGTTAGTTGTTGTTGGGTATGAATGATTTCCTACCAGAACAGGAAGCCAGGACCCCAGCAGTATAGAGTTGTATGTTCCAAGTGTTCGGATCAGAACTACAAATCTTTTCACGGTTGCTCCCTGTCCATGAAAATGAAAACATGTTAAAAGTGAACTGGACAAAAAATACAGAACTAACTGGACCTTTCCTCTCTCTGTCTAACACTCTGTATAAGGTGTCTCATACATTGTGAAATAACTATCCAGAAGATTGAAATACAAAGCAGTAACACAGTGTAGTAAAACTGCATAAACTATATACATGTTGACTAGTGTTAGGTAGTTTCATTTGCAAAAGTGCACCATATTTTCAAAGCTGATCATGTCAAATAGAAAGTAGGTCAAGTGGCTCATGTAGCTCTGCACCTGATCTCTCCAGCCGGAGTGGGGGACTGGTCTACAGCATGGGAAGGCAAATGCAGAACAATGACGCAGAAAAGGCCAAATGTGACAGCTTTTGTTCTGCCTGTAAGTTGCAACTGTACAGCACATGTGCTTTTTTCACTCGCCGTTAAGTTATTTTGGTATTCATAAATACGCTAGTAATCTGTGTCTTTTGGAAAGAGATGGAAAAATTAAGAGGTAAGGTTCCCACAGACCAATGAGCCATTTGTCTAAATTGTACTTAAGTACGTTGCTTGAGTAAAAAAACAAGTGACCTGTGTAATGAAGAGGTCCATCCAGGCCAGCAGGTTAATCAGGACCAGACTGAGGACAAACAGATCGTTGACCTCCGGCTGGACCCCGCGCAGGAACGTATCCATAGCAGCCAGGGACAGGAACTCCCCGATACTGAAGAGAGGAGGGGAGGAGAGAAGGAAGAGAAGCAAAGGCAAGGCAAGTTGATTTATATAGCACCTTTCAACACAAGGCAATTCAAAGTGCGTTACAAAAATGAAAGACATTACGAAAACGGCATTTAAAAACAGTCTTTAAAAAGCAAAGATAATAAAATAAACATTAAAAGAAAAAAGTACATAGACTGCACTGTAACTTTTATCCAAGATATGAATAGTTCAATTAAAAGCAGCGACAAAAAGAAAAGTCTTCAGCCTGGATTTAAAAGTAGTAAGAGTTGCAGCGGACCTGCAGGTTTCTGGGAGTTTGTTCCAGATATTTGGAGCATAATAACTGAACGCTGCTTTACCATGTTTAGTTCTGACTCTGGGGACAGAAAGCTGACCAGTCCCTGAAGACCTGAGAGATCTGGATGGTTCATAATTTAGCAGGAGGTCAGAAATGTATTTTGGGCCTAAACCATTCAGTGCTTTATAAACCAGCAGCAGTATTTTGAAATCAGTTCTTTGAGAGACAGGAAGCCAGTGTAAAGACTTCAGAACTGGACTGATCCACTTTCTTAGTGATAGTGAGGAACCAGTGTGAAGACTTCAGAACAGGACTGATCCACTTTCTTAGTGTCAGTGAGGAACCAGTGTAAAGACTTCAGAACTGGACTGATCCACTTTCTTAGTGTCAGTGAGGAACCAGTGTACAGACTTCAGAACTGGACTGATCCACTTTCTTAGTGTTAGTGAGGAACCAGTGTAAAGACTTCAGAACTGGACTGATCCACTTTCTTAGTGTTAGTGAGGAACCAGTGTGAAGACTTCAGAACAGGACTGATCCACTTTCTTAGTGTCAGTGAGGAACCAGTGTAAAGACTTCAGAACTGGACTGATCCACTTTCTTAGTGTCAGTGAGGAACCAGTGTACAGACTTCAGAACTGGACTGATCCACTTTCTTAGTGTTAGTGAGGAACCAGTGTAAAGACTTCAGAACTGGACTGATCCACTTTCTTAGTGTCAGTGAGGAACCAGTGTAAAGACTTCAGAACTGGACTGATCCACTTTCTTAGTGTCAGTGAGGAACCAGTGTAAAGACTTCAGAACTGGACTGATCCACTTTCTTAGTGTCAGTGAGGAACCAGTGTAAAGACTCCAGAACTGGACTGATCCACTTTCTTAGTGTCAGTGAGGAACCAGTGTAAAGACTTCAGAACTGGACTGATCCACTTTCTTAGTGTCAGTGAGGAACCAGTGTAAAGACTTCAGAACTGGACTGATCCACTTTCTTAGTGTCAGTCAGGAACCAGTGTAAAGACTTCAGAATTAGACTGATCCACTTTCTTAGTGTTAGTGAGGAACCAGTGTAAAGACTCCAGAACTGGACTGATCCACTTTCTTAGTGTCAGTGAGGAACCAGTGTAAAGACTTCAGAACTGGACTGATCCACTTTCTTAGTGTCAGTGAGGAACCAGTGTAAAGACTTCAGAACTGGACTGATCCACTTTCTTAGTGTCAGTCAGGAACCAGTGTAAAGACTTCAGAACTGGACTGATCCACTTTCTTAGTGTCAGTGAGGAACCAGTGTAAAGACTTCAGAACTGGACTGATCCACTTTCTTAGTGTTAGTGAGGAACCAGTGTAAAGACTTCAGAACTGGACTGATCCACTTTCTTAGTGTTAGTGAGGAACCAGTGTAAAGACTTCAGAACTGGACTGATCCACTTTCTTAGTGTTAGTGAGGAACCAGTGTAAAGACTTCAGAACAGGAGTGATGTGATCCACTTTCTTAGTGTTAGTGAGGACTCGAGCAGCGGCGTTCTGAATCAGCTGCAGCTTTCTAATAGATTTTTTAGTGAGACCTGTGAAGACACCATTGCAGTAGTCAAGTCTACTGAAGATAAAAGCATGGACAAGTTTTTCCAAATCCTGCTGTGACATTAGTCTTTTAATCCTAGATATGTTCTTTAGGTGATAGTAGGCTGATTTAGTAATTGTTTTAATGTGACTGTTGAAACTCAGGTCAGAGTCCATGACTACACCTAGATTTATTTTCTGTTGTTTTGAATATTGCAGACTGAAGCTCAGCGCTAACTTTTATACGTTCTGCCTTGGCTCCAAAAATCATTACCAGACAATTGAAGAAAAGATGAAGAAGAGTGAAGAAGAGTAAAGAAGAGGTGGAGACAAAGAGCAGAAAAGGAAGGAAGAGGGGTGAAGAAGACAAAAACATACTTTATTAATCTCCAACAGGGAAATTACTTTTTTAAATTCTGTTGTTTACACACATGCAGGATAGGGGAGGTGGCAGAGTGAAAGGGCAGCTAGCTCGCCGGAAGCAGGTGGGGGGCATTGCTCAAGGGCACCTCGGCAAGGCCCAGGAGGTGAACTGGAACCTCTCTAGCTACCAGTCCACACTCCGTAGAGGAGACGTTAAGGAGAGGAATGAAGGAGAGGAGGAGTGAAGGGGAGGAGGAGTGAAGGAGAGGAGGAGTGAGTGAGGGGAGAAGTGAAGGAGGGGAGAAGTGGAGAAGTGAAGGAGAGGAGGAGTGAAGGAGGGGAGAAGTGGAGAAGTGAAGGAGAGGAGGAGTGAAGGAGGGGAGAAGTGAAGGAGAGGAGGAGTGAAGGAGGGGAGAAGTGGAGAAGTGAAGGGGAGGAGGAGTGAAGGAGGGGAGAAGTGAAGGAGAGGAGGAGTGAAGGAGGGGAGGAGTGAAGGAGGGGAGAAGTGGAGAAGTGAAGGAGAGGAGAAGTGGAGAAGTGAAGGAGAGGAGGAGTGAAGGAGGGGAGAAGTGGAGAAGTGAAGGAGAGGAGGAGGGGAGAAGTGAAGGAGAGGAGGAGACAAAAAGAGGAAGAGTGAAGGAGAAATGGAGAGGAGTGGAACAATTGTATGTCTTTTTATGTACAATAACTTATTATGATTTAAAATGTTTAATCTGCACCTGCTGCCATAGCGATAGATGCCCTCAGGCATCTTGAGAATGTAGGCGGGGCTCTGTGTCACATCTATCTCTGATAGGCTGCTGTGGTTTTCCCAGTGATGTACGTCCACGAAAACAAACTCGATCCTTCCAGTAAACTTGACGGACAGCGCAGAGAAGAAGGCGGGGGGCTGGGGCAGGCAGGCGAACAGGAACATCTTCACCGGGTGGGCGGGGTCAGAGCGCCACTCCTCCACCAGCTGCTCAGACTGATGCAGTGTTTTGATTCGATGAGCCACATGTGAGGTCATCCAGCGGAAGATGTGTTCAGGTTCAATGCGACGGCCATTGTATTCTTTAAGCATGACTTTGCCCTTTGATGCTGAAGTCTGAGGAACGGACATGATGAGAGTGGAGCGCTGCCAGCCACGCTTGATACAGGACCTGGTGACGGAGCAGAGAGGCACCATGTCAGTATACAATCATACACCTACTCTCCTACAGACAGGAAGACATAACGTGTGGAAGCTGACAACTGCTGGATGGTTCCCCCCCCCCCACATCAATGGTCCTGTTCATCACTTGGTTTACAACATGGCAGGTTGCCGACCCAAAACAAAAGAAGAAATGTCGGGCTTTTTATTTATTATTTCTGTGGATGGTCTTTCTAATGCAACAACTCTTACAGTATGAGGTGATACTGTGACACTGAAATAGATATACGGGAGATTGCTGTATGTGAATGAGGAAAAGACAGAGTGTGTGAATGAAGGCAAACTGAAAGTCTTCATTCATTACAAACTGGCCTATTTTTGGTCAGCTACTTTTTATATTACACATATGGGGAGGAGTCAATCAGCAATCAGATAAATGGAGTGGAGTAAATAAATACAATATTTACGTTCCAATTACAGTAAAAAAAACAAAAACTAAGTTAGGTAGGTCGATTTCTCAAAATTCTAGTTAAGCAGCCATCTTAGTTGTATGATACCAGATACCAAAGCAAATTCCTTGCATGTGTAAACGTACCTGGCAATAAACTTGGTTCTGATTCTGAGCCCTTAAATATTTGAGTAGCTGTCCACGACGAATTCATGATGATGCCGTAGCATCCCCTATAGCTGAAAAGTTCCTAAGTTTGGCAGACCTATAGTCAATACAAAATCAAATGGTATCAACCCACAATGGAATTACATACAGGATTTATGGTCGGACTAAAATGTGCCTTATTTGTTCAGTAATGGCGATAGTATCTTCTACTTAATACTGAACTTGTGGCATTTGAATTTTGTCTATAGCTCAAATATCTCATTAGCTAGTTTTTCTACAAAAAGAGAACCTTCAGAGGTAGAGAAAGATGAACATTAAAACATCACAAACAAATAAGAAGAAATGTAATTGTCTTACTAACACAATTGCTCCACATGCTTCTGCCAGATGAGCATTATGTGTCATTATGTGAATTTGAAGTAGGCCCTGCATCCCACCTGTAGTCATTAGAGCAGTTGAAGGTTCCAGTTCTGATCCCAAACTGAGACACTTTCTGCACCATCTTCCCCCAGTTAGACTGACTGAGCAGGGCCTCCCGGTCCTTGGCAATGACCTGCAGGGTCACGGGACAGGACAGGGTCACACAGCTAATACCAAACAATGTTCTACTTCCTACAACCATGAATGACAGAAGTGGTTTAACACCACGAGGTGATTGCAGAAAATAGACGGTAGACACATGTAGCAGTTAAATGTTCTGCCCGACTCATGAATGGATCTGAAGTTCGTCATACATTCTTTGCCACGGAATGAAATGATTACATTACTGCCTTAACTGTTGTCTGATAGAGTATACAACAGTTAGTGAAATGCCTAAAATATGAAATAAAGTACCACTAATCAAGGGTGTTCACTTTCTTGGATATGAGCTCCTGATACTACCATGTGATTCACATCAGCATACATCGTCTGGGAGAGAGAAAGATATGACTTTAATGCTGATCATATCACTGCAATAAACAGAGTAAAAGAGACGTTTAGGCTGCTCTGTGACCGCATTAAGCTACTTGCCCTGTAGCAGTAACAACACAGAATTATACAGAGCGCATTCTCTCTGGGGGGGGGGGCGCCACAAGCTGCCGGGATGTCCCGGAGGAAGGTGGCTAGTGGCTAGAGCTTTGCAGCACTTTGCCCTCTCTGCACAATGTGAAATGTCCACAGTGCATCAAGGCTCTGTGGAGATATTGCAAACACCCGACCCATCTTCAAACCAGGGATGGCAATTTAAAGCAAAAATACTATTTCATAATCATTATTGAAGACTATTTAATCTCCACTCATCTAGTAATATAATAATATGTGTACCTAGATGCGTACAATACATTCATATCTCCTACTATTGAGTGTTATTACCTGCACCAGCCATATCCCATCTTTAGTGTCCTCCACTAACTCATAGAAGTGCATCTCTCCACTGAAGATGGTGCTGCCGTCTCCTGCCTCCGTCTGCTCCTTCTCCTTCTTCATGGCTGAGTACAGCTCTCCATGTGTCAGCTCTCCTGTGGGACCAGAGTTACAAAGAGTTAGACTTATACACCCAGATCCTAAAGTGAAACATGTTTCTGACTGTTTTAGTCTCATATGTGTACATTCAGTACAGAAGAATGGTTTTTGTTAAGAAGTGCTGCATTTAGAGGTTATTTTTACAGTAAAATCATTTACTAAAGCATTTTCCAAAATATCTCAACATAAAATATTTTGTGTGTAGGTTGGGCCAGTATACACTGTAGGATCATTATAACTGTATGATTACCTGATTTCTCTACCAGCTCGCTGACATCCTTCTTCTCGGCCAGGCCGGAGTAAGGCAGTCCCCTGCTCTCCAGGATGGTCTTCAGCTTCTTGTAGCTGAGGCTCACGGGGTCCACCAGGTGGGTGGAGAACATCCCAGTCTCATACCAGACCACTGCCTCAAAGAGCCTCGCTAGCATAAACAACACCATAAAATACAAGAGCAAGAAGAACAGCTTTATCCACATCTTGTAGCTGTCCGGGAGCGCTGCTGAAAGTCACTGTCATAGGCTTCCGACAACCAGAACAGACATTAGCTCAACATGGAGGAGTGTAGGCCGGTCGCACTGTCCTCACCGTCCGGCTGAGAGGGGCTAACCCTGACCGTCCACTGCCTTCACCACTTGTTTACATGAATGGTGACAGCTAGCTGGTTAGCTTAGCATCGTAGGTAGGCCTCGACACTGAGCAGTCTGTCAAACAAAACAAACAGTGTCCGCTGCACACGCGGCACTTTCCCGCGGCCTGTCAGTAGCGCGTGACCCGTTGCTGCTGTGCTTGCGGATTTAGGTTCAGAAAGTGACAGTAATGACCGAACTGTTTACTGCTGCGATCAGCTGGTGCATATAGCAGCTACGTCACATCCGGTTCCACAGCTATACAGCTATAAACCATAAACAAGCAACAACATCGACATTAATTAAATGTCAGCAATGCGGTTCTAAATCTGGGTTCCACTTCAAAGTCACCACACACGTGTTCAGTCGAATGTGATAACAGCGTTAACCTCAGCACGTGCTCTATATGTTCAACTCCAATGGAGCAATACTGCTCAGATTTGACTGAGAATGATATAGCCTGCCCTATTACATCACCGGACTACATCTATTGGTGCATTCATGTGTTCAGCATCTAACGTTGCTGCTGGAATGGGGGAGCCCATTTTAAATACTTGAAATACAGCTGTAGCTTAACTTATGTTAATGCAGTGGGTTGCAGTGATTCTTAAACATGTCGGCCTATAAAGGAACTAGTAACTAAAGCTAGTAATTAAATGTAGTGGTGGAAAAAGTACAATATCTGGCACATAGACGGAGGGGGAACAGAGAGAGCTGAGTAACAAGACTGAAATATTATTAATAGCTGATTAAAAATAATGAGCTGCCTGTCTTCCATTTCAGCTCTTCATATTAGGCAACAACCCTATCACAGCTGTCCTGAGATCAGTCAGATGACCTAATAATAACTACCTTACGTCAGGGGGGTCCAAACTAAGGCTGCGGGGCCAACTGTGGCCCGTGGACCCTTTTGAATTGGCCCCCAGCTAAATGAAAAAGTATAGGCTAATGGAATATGGCCCACACATGAAACTCAGAATTAATGTGTCAATAGGCCTAATTTGTCAAATAAATTCAGTGCAGATACCACTGTAAAGTGTCTTTGAGCACCTGAAAAAGCGTTCAAAATCAAATGTATTACCATTACTAAATCCAGTCAATTAAGGTTGAAAACATTTTTCTAACAAATCTTAGTTGATCAAAAAAGCCCAATAACTTATTTCCATAACTTGAAATAGACCCTCCATATTTCCCCTTTTTATAAGCAATCTGAGGCTGTAAGGAATGAGCTGCAACACTTTGTTACACAATAAAGTAAACCCTATGGAGAGCTGTGAAGGAGACTGTTTTCTTAAAGCATATTCTAGTATAAAGCATCATTTACCTACATTTGATTGATTTTGCTAACTTATAACTTCACTTATGAGGCAGTATACATCACCTCTAGTGAGGGGCCCAGCCCTCAGTATGTTTTTCTGTATGTGGCCCTCAGTGGAAAGAGTTTGGACACCCCTGCCTTATAATGTACGGGTTATGTGTACATACCCCACACAAAGTCATGTTACTTTTACAAAACACAAGCTAACCCTAAACACAGACACATCACTATCTGTATTTATTCATAGGAACAGCACCATCAAGAGGCTAAACAGGAAAATACAACAATATTGACTTCTGTAACCCAAAATGGCCAATCCTGCTGAAGACCTGCCCACTGCCCCGTCCCCTCACCTCTCTCAGCGTGCTACAGTGGAGAGACCCTCCCTGAGGATGTGGACACACGTGCTGGCCTTGTAGCTGAGGATGAGTTATATACACAAATATTGAAGGAGGGGATGTCCACGTTGTCTTGTCTCTTGCTTGTTGTTGTTGGAAACATTTGATGCAGTATTATTCATTATTACTAAATTCATTTATAGTACAGTTTTTTATTTTAGATTTTTCATCCCAACATTTTTTTGAAATGTGCCAGTTGATAATATTGTTTTTATAACCTTTTTCTTCGTGGTCGGATGGGTATTAATAAGATGAAATATATAGATTGATAGTCCACATGAATCTTTCTATGCCAATTTCATTTTTCACATGATGCTAAACCCTGGTTTTCATAATCTTCTAGAAAGCACAGCAATCGACTCAACTCGGACTGATTGCCCACTACTACATTTTCTGTTACCTTGGTAATGGTATAAAAAACGAGTTGAATTTATGAAAATCGTATTGATTATAAATATAACCAATAACATTTCTATTTGCATGACAATAACATCTGCTAAAAGTGTTCCTTAATCAATTCTCAGTTAGAAAAGTGTCTGTACAGTGAGCTGAATTGACTTAACATTACTTGATTGTTTTTTCCATTAGAATGTACAGGGTGTGTTTCCATCCACAGCGTCACACTGTTAAAGGTGTTTCACCAGTCTGTTAACACCAGTTTAACAAATCAAGCTAGAGGCCTGAGTGATGTTTGACAACTACAGACTGGCAGGACTGGAAAACAACACATTTGATACTCAACAGTTGTCATCTCTTACAAGAATTAGGAAACGTGATACATTAGACAGCTGGTCTATAGACAGGCATTCATTTTCCAGCCAGGGATCCTGATGCAGTTTCAGGGAGGAAAGGCTTCAGCCTGCCTTGGCTAGTGCATGTTGGGATACTTCAGGCAGAATCTGTCGAATGTATCGTATATGGCCTGTCTGAAAAACAAACAGATATGCAATCAATTCTAAGAACAACAACACAAAATGTAGCACGATACACAGTCTGGGTTTACATTTGAATTCGTTTTTTACCGTTCAACAGAAATTGCACCCCAAGTTTGACAGCACCAGTGTTATTTCCGTCAAAGAAAACTATGACGAAAAATGTTCGTCAACGACCTTTTTTTACATGACTAAAGACGAGACGATGATGAGCTAAAAATAGATTATTGATAATAAAAACTAAGACGAAATGTATATTTTGTTTTCGTTGACGAGATCAGAGTGTAGGAATACTCTGTTACAGTAAAAGTACTGCATTCAAAATGTTCCTCAAGTAAAAGTAGAAAAGTATTCTCATCAAAATATAGTGAAAGTAGCGACAGTAAAAGTAGTCGTTGTGCAGATTGGTCCATTTCAGAATAATATATATGATATGTTTTATAATGCAGGGTTCATACACTTTTTCACCAATGATTTTCAATGACTTTTCCAGGACTTCTCCATGACCTTTACCTAATTTTCCATGACCAAAAAAATGACTCTCTCAGCGTACCACTGGAAATGGTTTATTTGAACATGGAACAGGAAGATAAGGTCTGCATCTGAAACATGTTGTGCCTATCTAAAACAAATCAAATAGGCTTACTAGCTTCTACGCGCTAAAGCAACTCAAATCTCACCAGCAAAACACCTCGTCAGTTAAATGCCATTTTACGTTTCATTACTATACGATACAGTATTTATTATCATTATAGGATTACTATTTTGGCGATTAGATAAAATATAAATTATATTTGATGCAAGTTTAGTTACATTTCCATGACTTTTCCAAAACTTTGGGAAAAATATTGTTTTCCAAAACTTTCCCAGGGCCTGGAATTAGCTTTTTGAATTTCCATGACTTTTCCAGGTTTTTAATGACCGTAAGAACCCTGTTAATGATTGATCATGAAAGTGTTCTCAAAGCTGGTAAAGGTGCAGCTAGTTTGAATGACTTTGTATACTGCAGGGTAGCTGGTGGATTTACTCCAGGTGGAACTAAAGTCTGATTCAACACTTGATTATATTTCACATCAGTCATCCACATCTGTGAAGTAACTAAAGGTATTAATACATGTAGTGGAGTAAAAGTACACCATGTACCTCTGAACTGTAGAGGAGTAGAAGTACACAGTAGCAAAATACTTAAATACTCCAGTTAAGTACAAGGACCTCAACATTTTACTCAAGTAGGCTACAGTACAATATAATAACATAATTATATATATTTTATTTATAACTTATATAAATACGACTGAATTAGTTTAAAGAGAGAAAACATTTTGACTAAAATGTAAAGATTGTTCATCGACTAAAACTAGACTAAAACTATGAAGGATAAAAAGGACTAAAATGTGACTAAAACTAATAACCATTTCCGTCTAAAGACTAAATCAAAAATAGCTGCCAAAATGAACACTGGACAGCACATGGTTAATGTGTGATTGAATAACAGCTGTAGCATCCTTAGTGTGCACGTGTTGTTTTTCACAAGCTCTACAACAGGAGGTCTTCAACTATTCAATTGATAAGGTTAGAATATTGATATGATCTCGAGAATAAATGGACTTGACGCGAGCACACTGTTTCTCTGTTAGAGACTCATCACTCTGTCCACTCATGATATACTGTGTTACTGGTGGTGTGTGGACAGACATCGTGTTGGCCTTTAACAAGATGTATTAGGTATCTTTGTCAATTATCTACAGGTAATGGTAATTGTTCAAATTGCCCAACATATGCAAGTTAGCATCCGGCAGTTTCTATGCGCGAGGGACCCGTACTATTACTATTTGTAATTCCATTTGTAATTCAACATGTATATTTTCTACTTTCTAGTCTTTTCAATTGTATTGTACAATGCAATGTCTTTTTATGCTGCTGCAACACAAACATTTACCAAATTAGGATCAATAAAGTACTTCTTATCTTCTTATACATTTTTCTCGTAAGACTTTGGGGTACTCAACATTTCCGGGTTCAGTAACCTGGCAACTAAACTAAAAGGCTCTAATCCCAGCATGACTTGTTCCCACTGGGCAGAGAAAGAAAAGAGTCAAATGTGGCAGGTCTTCACCAATATCACTTATTACTGACCATTAACTCCAACAACATAACGTCAACACATCAGGTCATACTAGGAGGCTCAGAAAGGGGGGAGTGTCACAAGTCAAACTGTTTGTTTTCTGGTGAGCACGAGTTTATCTAGGTACAACCAAACACAGGAACACACCACGTGATACGAGACAACACATATCCTGAGTAGGAGTTTACCTAAAGACACTCTGTTTAAACAGATATGCACTGATGTGTCCTCCATTCAGATATCTGACTTCACACCCGGGCCAGATCTCCTGCAGACTGAGCACTCCTGTTCGGGGGATGTAGGCGTCCTCTTTGGCCTGGACCACGATAATGAGGCTGGGGTCTACAGGGACTGGGACAGTGGGAAGGACAGATCTAATTCAGATGCATGTTGACACGGACAAATATACAGGACATCACGTTTTACAGATGACAGCTCGACTGTCTACATATGTCAAACCTGCAGCAAAAACCTGGGTCTAATATTCAACAGAAACCTTTCTTTTGAAAACCAACTTACATGTGGTTCAATCACCTTTTCATTAACTTAGGATCTTCTAAAATGTATTTCCTCTATCAACCTAATCTTAAGAAGGTCATACATGCTTGTATTTAATGAGGGTTATATTATTGTGATTCATTGTTTTCAGTGTTAAAGGTCACCTATTATTCAAAATCCACTTTCTCAAGTCTTTTATACATTCATATCTGTTTCCTCTGTGTTAAGAGATTCAGAGAGTCTCAGGAACAATGACCGCCTCTCTTCTTGTCCTGATCCATTTCTATAAAAACCTCTCTGAAAATCAGCTGATCAGATTTTGGCCACTTTGTGATGTCACAATGTTTTTATGGGTTGTGTAACTATTAGCCAATAACCACCCAAGGTAACCCCCCCCCCCCCCACCTTATCACCTGAATCACCTCCTAGAGCACCATTATGTTTTTTGTTTTTTTAAACCAATCACTTTTCAAGGGGGCGTGGCCAGCAGCAGCTCATTAGCATTTAAAGCTACAGACCCAGAATCAGCACTTTTGGAACAGGGCTGAAACAGAGGGGATTATGGGAAGCTGCAATGATCTGTTTGGTGTTTAAACCAATCACTTCAGAGACCTGTTCTGTATATATCTGAGACCTGTGATATATTGTTGAAAAAGAGTATAATAGGGGACCTTTAAGCCAAAGACTTTCCCAACTGGGAAAGTGCAACAACTGGTCACAAATGCAGCTGCTCATCTTTTAACAGATAGTAGAAGAAATGATCACATCTACCCAGTTTTTGCAAGTAAGTTATAGAAATTGATAATATTTCACTGTTAACCTCACTTCACGGTTTAGCTCATTTGCTGCAATGTTGCTGTTGGATGTTGCCAAGCGAAACCACAGTTGCCTTTGTTTTGTAAATTGGTTAGGAGCCATTTCAATGTCCCTTAATGATAAAGGACCTGTGATAGTATTATCATAGTGGTTCCTCTGTCCTTTTTATGTTAGGTACTAAACTGAAAAATAGCCTGCGGATCTGCACCTTAAAACTCACCAGAGAAGTTGGCCATGTGTGTGCATTCATCCATCACTCCCTTCATGAAGCTTATAGACTCTCGATGTAATGAGGGTCGAGAGCATTTTGTCGACTCCGTCTTCGTCCCCTGCAGTGGGTTGTTTGCACCTGGGCTTCTATACAAGAAGAGAAGAACATCAGCTTTACAAAGAAAGGTTAAAGGACACAAAACAGTGCAACTTCTGCGACTACGGTTGGAATGTGGACAATAGTTAAGAAATGGCTTGGCCGATCTGGACAGTTTCGGGGGGAGTGGATTTGCGGGTTATTGAGGATGCCGAGTCCATTTCTGACATTTTCAGGATACAAAAATTGCAAATATATTTCTACTCTCTGTGGGCTGATTTTGATACATTTTGGGTTGATTTGGAAGATTTAGGGGACTCTGGATCATTTGGAATTTGACAGATTGTCTATTTATTCATACCATTTGGGGTATCACACTCCTTTAGCATACTTTCAGCTACAGAAACCATTCAAATATAAATATGCAGCCTTTTCAGGACATGATGGGAAACTATTTTCTTTTCATAACTTTTAAAATATTTATATTTATATTAACCTATTTCTTTAACATATAACTCAATGGGCGGAACCTTAAAAATGGCTCTTCTCATGGTGGAAATCTGCAATTGTGTGAATGGGCATGTTTACAGAGGAATCTGGACACACCCTGCCATGAAACCAGAGGGGGGGGGGGGGGGTTATGTTTTGAAAGTGGGTGCTGGTTGAAGCATGCAACATATGAAAGCAGAACAAGAAGAAGGAAAGGTGAGGAGGGAAACGATAGTGGATATAACGTAACATTGTATGCCATGTCCTTAGAAAAGGCAAAGAGTAAAACTCTGTATGTAAATCAATGACCTTGGCAGATATCCGAGGCCACCCCCGCTGGTCCCTGATGATAACACTTGGTCCACGAGTTCAGCCTCGGCCTCCCCTCCAGCTCTGGTGCTCTGACCCACAGACACTCGGACATCCCCAGACGGGCTCAAAGAGTCGTCATTCTTCGCAAATTCTGGAGCCATCTTTAAGGAATCAACCTGATAAAAGCGGACACACAGAGCAAAAGATACAATGTACTTATTATTGCTAATGAGTGTTCATGTAAGTGTTCTGAATTAGGAATTATTTCTCTAGCAGAATCCTTGGTGAGAAATCCAGACATCAAAAACAGAATGTAGACATTTCTAATCCTTCCTTGTATAGTAAGCGATCCTTCAAAAGAGTTCAAGCATAACCTACCCCACAGTACTCCAACAGCTTTATGATCTCTTCTTCATACACTGAGTTTATGGCATACTGCTTCTCCAGCTCCTTCCAGTTCACTGCTTTACTCAGCACGCCCTGCAAACACAGGGAGGGTGGGGGAGATCAGCCAGTGGCTACATTGACCCACCCCCTGTATCTAACAAACTGTGCACATTTGATGTCATGTGACCATAACTTCAGGAAGCACCCATCATTTCTATGTTTCTGTGATGGAGGGAAGCACATGGTAAAGTGGTAAATGTGTTTTTTTCACAATAAACCATGTTCTGTCAAAGCAAATGTATCCAGGTCTGAAAAGATGTATCATAGATGTTGGTTACAAGGTGTAAATGTGAATGTGAATCATTTAGCTAAAGATTAGCATTGAAGACCAAAACAGTCTATGTGCTGGGGACTCGTACTCTACATTTCTAAAATGAAAAGGTACTCAACATTTCCGCGATCGCCCATTTGCAAGTTACACACTAGCTCTCACAATGGTCTGGCTTATTTTGAAGTGTATATATATTTTTCTTGTTGTTCTGAGTTTGTAACTTTATTGTAAATTGCACTTATTGTAGGTCAGCTAATTAAATGTAATAAAAAATAATAATAACACCAACTATAATGTTTGGTTATGATGTCAATTGTAATGCTGCTCTAATAACTGATTTGGTCTATTTGAGATAGAAAGAGTGTTACCGTGGTGAAGACACTTGAGGCAGTGGACCAGGACAAACAGGGAATCAGAGGAATGGGCTTTGGCCAGTTTGTCACCGCCAGGGACGCCATCTACACACAAAGATATGAAAAATAGGATTTTTTGGTGAGATGAGGTATTACAATGGACCCACTGGTATTTGTATGCAAGCTTGCAAGCAAAACATATACTTTCACATATAAAGAAGGTTGCTGGTGATAATGGCTGTCCAGGGTGGCACATGTGCAATAACAAATCATAAGACAGAATGTGTGCTGTTATGATGACTCACATATCCTCCCATGGAGATGCCAGTCATTCCTAGTGGCCAGTACCCTTCTCTCTCCAGCCAACGGAGAAGCACTGTTGACTCCAGGATCAAAGCCCCTCCCATCACAAGTAGGTCTGACACATTCTTTAGACTGGACCGCCTAAGTACTCACAAATAATGTCCCTGTTTACTTAACACTGAAATGAGTCCATTGAAAATATATATCAGTATTTAACCACCACGAGCGCAGCCTTGGCTGTGAGCAGGGGACAGATTCCAACACTCATGAGAAACAAAGCCTCAGACCACACCATAGATGTCTGCAATGACTCCTGTATCACAATCAGGGTTGGGAGGGTAACACTTTACAAATGTATTCCATTACAATTACTAGCTACTCGTAGTAATCAGTAATGTCGTCTGAGTATCACAATATAAAAGTAATGTAACCTGATTCATTTCTGTTACTTTTGGATGACCTCAAATGCAATGCAAATAAATCCAACAGACTTTTCTTTTCTTTTTTCACTTAAAGGTGGGGTAGGTAAGTTTGAGAAACCGGCTCGAGATACACTTTTTGTTATATTCCATGGAATGCTCTTAACATCCCGATAGCAATGAATACCTTTAAGTGCTTTGACAAAAAATCCATAAAGAAATGTCATCTGTGGAAGCCGTAATACTGTAAAAAGCACGACCAATCATCTGAGCCGGCCCTGGCTAAATAACTGGATGGCCTACCTGCCTGTCAGCCTTCCATCTGTGCACAAACTTATCTCGTGCCCTCATTGGTCATGTGCGCGTTCGTGTGTGTTGGAGGAGGGGCTCTGTAAGGAAGTGGCAGATTTGTTCCGGCTGTGTATTTTCAAACTCTAGCGCACTCGAACTGGTTTCTCCAAAATGACATACCCCACCTTTAAGTGTATTATGTAAGAAAAATGTGACCTTATAAAAGAAGAAAACAAGATATTTAGGATCAAAATCGAAAAAGAAAAATGAAAGTAGCCTAAATGAAAAGCAAAAAATAAAATTCAGACTATAGTCCAACTATAATATATAATCCTTAATTAAAACATTAGGGGAATACAGTTTACTTTTTTTTAATCCTAATTACGTAATCCCATTCCATGTAATCTGTTACCCCCCAAACCTGATCACAGTCCACATGTTCATTGTGTTTCATACAACTGTTGCTTTGCCGAATAACTGGCTAAATCATTTTTTTAATAATTGTGTCATCCTGATTGCAACATGAGTCTATTCTGTATAGACAAAGGTTGCTCATCTCTGTATACTACAGTTGGGCTACACTGACTATATCATCCACTGCCATCTGAATGTAGGAGCTGTAGAGATGCGCTGGAGTGTAGCATTAATATCACTTGTTTTCTCCAGGATTTTCCACACCTTGAAAATAACTGCCATTAAGGAAAGGAAGTGAACCTCAATATGTTTGTGGTACAGACAGCTCTATAGTGCATAATAGTCCTGCCTGCCAAAATAGACGAATCATAGAATTGAATGTGTTTAAAAAACACTGATGTTGGAAATTCCATTCTTTTTTTAAATAAGGCTACACAACGACTGAATGTTGTAATTATAATGCTGCACCTGTAAGAACTTAAATATCTACGGATATATTGTTTTTTGATTTCATTTTTAAAGATCTTAATTATCAATATCTTTCTTCACTTTGAAACTCCAGTATCCTGAAGGCTGTACTGTATCAATACAAACACACTACAGCCTGTTGTGTGTCTGATGTTTGCTACATGGTATACCAATCAGCAACCCCCCCCCCCGGACCTTACAAACACTGTTCATATTTCTACCTCTCAGATTTCCCTTATGCCTTCCATAAAGAAGAAGAGCACTCCAATGTAAGCATGATGTTGTGTATGTAGATATCAGATTTGCTTTGTCAGGGTTTTTTATCTCTGTGAAATGATTCCAACTTTTTTGATTTAAGCTTTTCTTTTCCTAAACGGAAAGCTTACTTTTATCTACTTCCGCCTTAAATGTAAAAATGCCAAATTGGTAATCAATCATTCAGGTCATGTGTGTGAATAGAAATGTACTTACAGTTGGTCTTTGGGTTTACGGTAGCCATGTGAAAGATCAGTCAAGGATTAAAACATGTTAACAACAGTTCACTTCTAACTATACTTCTATATATATATTATTATAATATATATTCCACCTCATTTTAGCTCAAAGCGCTGTAGTGATCAAGCAGCCTTTGCTACAAGAATTACCACCTAGCACTCGGATATCTTGACCACTGCTGCTTTGGCTACTGAGTGATTTGTCTCACAAAACAGTTTTAAAAGGAAAAATAAAAAGTGGGAAGCAGATGCGATCAGAAAATAGAAGGATATAATAAGGGCTCTCCAGAAGCAGCGAAGCCATTCCTGCCTCTTTAACCATCGGCCTGGCCATCAGAGTCCGCCGACGCCAGAAGAACTACACACAGAGACACACACAGTCATTAATACTTAGAGAGTCAAAGGAACAGAGAAAGCTGTGTAATGATCCCAGCCGGGCTTTGAAGTGTTGCAAACAAGAAGATGGTAACTTGGCGAATAAATAATACTAAGACCAGGCAAGTCTTTAACTTTCTTTGTTTAATATTGCCATATTAAACTCAAAATCCACAGTAAGACACATGCTAAAAAGCACATCGATAAGAGAAATAAATCAGGACCTCAGGTGCATTACTATTGGCCGTACTGAATCTATCAGTGCCTGCTTGGGGAGATGTGTACACTTCATACACACAAGGTTCAGGTTACGTCGTAGGTAGAGAGTGAAATGTGTAAAGCCTTACATGGTCTCCCGTCCCTGCCAAGTGGATACATACTGGTCTGTTCTTCTGCCACTTCTTAGGGACTATAAACTGGAACCTGAAACAACACAAACACTGTAAAGACACAGAATCCACTCTGTGGCTGAAAGACAGAATGATTCAATCACTCTGTCTTGTTAAAGGCCATATTAATGGTTCTGCCCTGGTTAATGACAGACCAACACTGTGATAAAATGACCTGAAATATATTTAAAATATTCAGATAGTCAACATTATTTGTTTAGAAAAATTGAGAAAAAATAGCACTAGTAAACAAAAACTGCTGTCATTTAAACAACCTTAACTATTTGTCATTACAATTACCCGCGAGAAACGTTGTTATTGTGGTAATTGTCAGGGAAAAACACATTTGGAGACGGAATAATATGGCATAGGACAACAGTAAAAAAAAACTCTGCAGAGATTTGGGTTAAAGACAGAAGAAGGGGGGGCACATTGTTGCTGCCCAATGGGAACGAGTGAGGAAGGGATGCATTGTTCTGTTATAATTATTTATTTATTCAAATGTTAATCATTGGTTGTCCATACTGATCTCGCTTGCTGTCCAGACTGATGTCAACTTTAACACTTCCTCCAGTCTGCACCTTGGACAGGGAATGATGACATCATGGACAGGGAATGATGACATCATGGACAGGGAATGATGACATCATGGACAGGGAATGATGACATCTTGGACAGGGAATGATGACATCATGGACAGGGAATGATGACATCATGGACAGGGAATGATGACATCATGGACAGGGAATGATGACATCATGGACAGGGAATGATGACATCTTGGACAGGGAATGATGACATCATGGACAGGGAATGATGACATCTTGGACAGGGAATGATGACATCATGGACAGGGAATGATGACATCATGGACAGGGAATGATGACATCTTGGACAGGGAATGATGACATCATGGACAGGGAATGATGACATCTTGGACAGGGAATGATGACATCATGGACAGGGAATGATGACATCATGGACAGGGAATGATGACATCATCCCATTTCCATGCACTTCTTGGAGCGTGCCAATTCCTCCATTGAAGTTCTCTCATTTGAATTGCCCTTTTTTGTATGTCTAATAACGTCATTAGTGTTGGACCGGTTGTAATCCTGTTTTGGATTCAACTGGCTCTGCTTATATATTTTGTGGTCGGAATAATACCGTGTGAGACAGGCTGTCTTCGCCGAGCTGAGGTAGACAACATTAAGAAGATCACTTCCATTAGGGTGGAAAGAAGCGCATGGAGGCTCATGTCGCATTTGTTTACAATACATTTCTTTGTGTTTTTTTTGGCGGTTATAAGAGATGAGAAATGGAAGAAAAAGTGAAACCATTGGTGCAGATCGCCATCTTGGGTCATCACACCAGACAGACCCGGGCTGCAGTCGAATAGTCCAAAAATCAACTCCTAAGTTCTAACCCTATCGTCTATTCCTTGACCTCTGAGTGAAACGCCACGGGGTTAAGGGATAGTGGATAGGAGAATTCAAAAGGACTTAGGAGAAGAGACCGCGGTACTTTAGAGAATCCGACTGCACTTTCATTATCTGACGTGTTTATGATGCGCCAGCGGACGTCATGAAGGTGCGTCTGCTGCTGTGGGGAAACTATGGAAACTACAGTTTTCTATACAGCGGACTACAACATGGATGTTTTAATAAGAACGAGGGACTACTGTAAACTCATCTAGAGACTCTGCACCGTGCTCTGATGCTGTTGCTTTATGCTTTATGAACGGGGACAACAGAGAAACATATTCTTCATGACCAAAGTTGGAATTGAAATAAAAATGAAAGTGAAACTTATGCTCGTCACCCTCTCCCTCCGGTCCACATTAATACAAATGATCCCAATACGTATGATTGATGAAAATATCTTAAAATCAATACAAATGTATTTATTATAAACGTTAGTCCTTAACATCTATCACTGTGTATATCACCATTCAAACATCTTTTAAAAGTTGAACAAACCCCACACAGCTCAGTAAAGACTGTGAGATGTTGACTTTATTTGATCATTTCAGTAAAAACTAACGTTCATATTTCTCTTTTTGATTATAATACTGATGAACGTTCAAAACAAAGCACTTTGGCAACTTACCACATACGTTTTAAAATGCTTAATAACTTTCATGATATCATTTCTCGGTTGTTTCCGTGAACGGCCGACTGTTGTGTGACGGCAAATGCTGCGGGTGCAAGGCATTGTGGGGCAGCATTTTCTCCTCTCCTTTAGGTGAGGGAGGTCCAGTGGTTCCTAAGCTAAAGGAGGTTATAAAGGAAGTTTGAAACGTCCTTTCCTATCATGTAGAGAATTCGAACGGCACTTATCATGGCTGCCACTGAGAGACTTCCGGGTCATTTCACTCGGTTAGGAAGGTTCCTAAGCTAAACGGACTATTCGACTGCAGCCCAAGCAACAGGACACAAAGACATGGGCGGCGAAGGACAATTACTAACATATAAACAAATACATTAGGAATTGCATAGAAAGGGATTCGCCTGGGCTTCACTTTATGAAGACATCAATTGGAAACACATTTTTGCTAAATAATAAAGGTAATGAGGTTTCTTTTTAAATTATTTTCCACACAGTATATCCTGCTAAAAAGACACTGCAACGATATGGACTTGATATTGAATATTCCTGTACATTTTTTAATCTATAAGAAAAAAGTATTTGCCATTTATTTTATGAATGTATGTATTGTAGAATGTTTTGGTATTAGCAATATTTTATTAAAAGAAAACGGGACAAAAAGTACAACTCCAGGACAGAGACATTATTATGTCCGTCAAAGCTGATGGTATAGAAGCATTTTGTGCAGTTCATTTTATTTCTAGGGACATTTCCTATCCAAAAAAAGGAGAAGGGCTGACTCCGAACCACATTTTTAAGATTTCAACTAAGAACTAAAACAATATATTAGCACTATAAAAAATGATACAAATATATATATTTTTTTATTTACTTTAAGTGATTTTGTGTTGCTTTGCATGTCTGCAGAGTGTATGATCATCGTTCGTGTATAATCTTGAATAGATGAATAATACATTTTTAAAAAGACATGGGCGGCTGCTGACTCTAGTGCGACACTTGGTGGGTAGAATTAGGTATACCAGTCCGATCTGGTATTTGGCTAAAAGGCAGGTTTGAAAATGTTTACACTAGCCCAACCCTACAGGTCACAGAGACTCTAGGCTTGTTTGAGACAAGCGAGACCGACGCAGACCTGCGCAGTTGCGATGAACGTCTTGCTAGTGCGTTGCATGATGGTTAGTCATTTTGTCCGACTTGCTCTGGAGGCTCGCCTACATGAGACGTTGAAATCTCGCGGGACAAGACGCCCGCAGCCTTGAGAGCGAGGTGCGGCGAGGCGGCGCAGTTCCTCTCCGGGCTGCGGAAGCGAAATGCTTGATGGGAAACGACTCGCTGGTATCTCGAGCTGAGCGCTCATTGGTGGTTTTTACCACGTGCTGGTGATGAAACTCTCCAATCGGCTCGGCAAAAGTTTGTTGTTGTTTTGTGTCAGTTTTACGTCGCCACATCCATTCCCATTTTTCATCATTGTTCCACAATGTTTATCATCATGAAATTAATATCCATATATTTTATACTATACTTGCACTGCTTACCGTTTTCATACTTTATATATCTTAGCATATTCATACACACTGTTCATACTGCTCACAGGCTGCTGTGTATATCTAGTGTATTCATACCCCTCACTGTTTATTCATCATTCAATTCATTCTATATTTTATTCTGTAGATTGTGTACATTACTTTTTGCACTCCTGGTTAGAAGCTAAAGTGCATTTCGTTGTCTCAGTACCTGTAATATGTGCAATAACAATAAAGTTGAATCTAATCTTGAGCAGGAACAAATGTATTTACTCAGTACATATCTGACATTAACGATTAAACACATGTGTGCATTCTTTATAAATGCAAACCAAGTCAAGCCGACTCCGGAGGTGGCGGAATGCACCTTAAAGTTGTTTGCAATCCGCCAAAAAACCGAGAGAAGAAGAAGAAGAAGAAGAAGAAGAAGAAGAAGAAGAAGAAGAAGAAGAAGAAGAAGAAGAATAAGAAGAAGAAAGAAGAAAAGAAGAGAATAGAAGAAGAAGAAGAGAAAAAAAAAGAATAAAGAAATAATAAGAAGAAAATAAATAAAATAAGATAATAAGAATAATAAGATAAGAATAATAATAATACCTACATCATAATAATAATAATACTAATCAATACTACTCCCTCCTCCTCCTCCTCCTCCTCCTCCTCCTCCTCCTCCTCCTCCTCCTCCTCCTCCTCTCCTCCTCCTACGCCTCCTCCTCCCTCCTCCTCCTCCTCCTCCTGCCTCCTCATCACTCCGCCTACTCCTCCTCCTCCTCTCCTCCTCCTCCTCATCCTCCTCCTCCTCCTCCTCCTCACTCTCCTCCTCCTCTCCATCGTTCCTCCTCCTCCTCCTCCTCCGCCTCCTCCGCCGAAGAAGAAGAAGAAGAAAGCGACTCCGAGCTGTCCGACTTCAGGCGAGCTTTTTGAGACCTCCCCCGGCTGCGATCGGCTATTCTCGTCTACTTTCGAGGCGAGCCGCAGCTCGTCTCAAACAAGCCTACTATGAGAAGCAGACACCCACTCACCACCTCTGAAGCATCAGACTGAGGTTGTGGTCTTATAATCAATATGTAGCAAATGTACATTTAAGTGTGTCACTGATGTGATATTTAAATGGTCTAAAAATGTGTTACATTTAATGTCAGGATTTGTGCATATTCTGTACATTAGAAGCCCATCCATAGAAGTAGAGGAAGTCATCATGTCTGTACCTGGCTTTGACAGCCTCTGGAGGCAGGATTCCAGGAACCAGGTGCTCCAGAGGAGAAATGAAGAACCCTTCATGGATCTGATAGCCAGTGTGCTCCTCTGTCTGGACACGAAGGAACAAACACACCTATCTATTAGCATCCAAAAACTGTTATTCTAGTGCGCACTGAAGAGAGAACAGATGGAGTACCTTATTGATGTGAACGGGATAGTCCTCAGGCACCAGAGACCCGCACCGCTCTCTGTCACCAATGTACTTACGGAACTCAAAGATTCTATAAAACACAAACAGAAGAGAGAAGAGCACAGCATCAGTACAGAACCATCTGATTCATCACTGGTTCCCCAGGAGCACTGATCTGTTTAATACAGTAGAATATATACTCAGAGGAAACTGATTGTATGGATGCATATCAACTTACAATGCCAACAACTCTTCTAAAGTGCATCTTGGCGGCGATTTGATAAAATATTAAATGTTAAAGGGGATCTAATATGTTCATTTACAGGTTCATATCAGTATGTAGTGTCTCTACTTTAAAGAGTCCTCTCCTGCTGATGTTCAGGTGTATATCAGTATGTAGTGTCTCTACTTTAAAGAGTCCTCTCCTGCTGATGTTCAGGTGTATATCAGTATGTAGTGTCTCTACTTTAAAGAGTCCTCTCCTGCTGATGTTCAGGTGTATATAAGTATGTAGTGTCTCTACTTTAAAGAGTCCTCTCCTGCTGATGTTCAGGTGTATATCAGTATTTAGTGTCTCTACTTTAAAGAGTCCTCTCCTGCTGATGTTCAGGTGTATATCAGTATGTAGTGTCTCTACTTTAAAGAGTCCTCTCCTGCTGATGTTCAGGTGTATATCAGTGTAGTGTCTCTACTTTAAAGAGTCCTCTCCTGCTGATGTTCAGGTGTATATCAGTATGTAGTGTCTCTACTTTAAAGAGTCCTCTCCTGCTGATGTTCAGGTGTATATCAGTATGTAGTGTCTCTACTTTAAAGAGTCCTCTCCTGCTAATGTTCAGGTGTATATCAGTATTCAGTGTCTCTACTTTAAAGAGTCCTCTCCTGCTGATGTTCAGGTGTATATCAGTATGTAGTGTCTCTACTTTAAAGAGTCCTCTCCTGCTGATGTTCAGGTGTATATCAGTATGTAGTGTCTCTACTTTAAAGAGTCCTCTCCTGCTGATGTTCAGGTGTATATCAGTATGTAGTGTCTCTACTTTAAAGAGTCCTCTCCTGCTGATGTTCAGGTGTATATCAGTATGTAGTGTCTCTACTTTAAAGAGTCCTCTCCTGCTGATGTTCAGGTGTATATCAGTATGTAGTGTCTCTACTTTAAAGAGTCCTCTCCTGCTGATGTTCAGGTGTATATCAGTATGTAGTGTCTCTACTTTAAAGAGTCCTCTCCTGCTGATGTTCAGGTGTATATCAGTATGTAGTGTCTCTACTTTAAAGAGTCCTCTCCTGCTGATGTTCAGGTGTATATCAGTATGTAGTGCCTCTACTTTAAAGAGTCCTCTCCTGCTGATGTTCAGGTGTATATCAGTATGTAGTGCCTCTACTTTAAAGAGCCCTCTCCTGCTGATGTTCAGGTGTATATCAGTATGTAGTGTCCCTACTTTAAAGAGTCCTCTCCTGTTGATGTTCAGGTGTATATCAGTATGTAGTGTCTCTACTTTAAAGAGTCCTCTCCTGCTGATGTTCAGGTGTATATCAGTATGTAGTGTCTCTACTTTAAAGAGTCCTCTCCTGCTGATGTTCAGGTGTATATCAGTATGTAGTGTCTCTACTTTAAAGAGTCCTCTCCTGCTGATGTTCAGGTGTATATCAGTATGTAGTGTCTCTACTTTAAAGAGTCCTCTCCTGCTGATGTTCAGGTGTATATCAGTATGTAGTGTCTCTACTTTAAAGAGTCCTCTCCTGCTGATGTTCAGGTGTATATCAGTATGTAGTGTCTCTACTTTAAAGAGTCCTATCCTGCTGATGTTCAGGTGTATATCAGTATGTAGTGTCTCTACTTTAAAGAGTCCTCTCCTGCTGATGTTCAGGTGTATATCAGTATGTAGTGTCTCTACTTTAAAGAGTCCTCTCCTGCTGATGTTCAGGTGTATATCAGTATGTAGTGTCTCTACTTTAAAGAGTCCTCTCCTGCTGATGTTCAGGTGTATATCAGTATGTAGTGCCTCTACTTTAAAGAGTCCTCTCCTGCTGATGTTCAGGTGTATATCAGTATGTAGTGTCTCTACTTTAAAGAGTCCTCTCCTGCTGATGTTCAGGTGTATATCATTATGTAGTGTCTCTACTTTAAAGAGTCCTCTCCTGCTGATGTTCAGGTGTATATCAGTATGTAGTGCCTCTACTTTAAAGAGTCCTCTCCTGCTGATGTTCAGGTGTATATCAGTATGTAGTGTCTCTACTTTAAAGAGTCCTCTCCTGCTGATGTTCAGGTGTATATCAGTATGTAGTGTCTCTACTTTAAAGAGTCCTCTCCTGCTGATGTTCAGGTGTATATCAGTATGTAGTGTCTCTACTTTAAAGAGTCCTCTCCTGCTGATGTTCAGGTGTATATCAGTATGTAGTGTCTCTACTTTAAAGAGTCCTCTCCTGCTGATGTTCAGGTGTATATCAGTATGTAGTGTCTCTACTTTAAAGAGTCCTCTCCTGCTGATGTTCAGGTGTATATCAGTATGTAGTGTCTCTACTTTAAAGAGTCCTCTCCTGCTGATGTTCAGGTGTATATCAGTATGTAGTGTCTCTACTTTAAAGAGTCCTCTCCTGCTGATGTTCAGGTGTATATCAGTATGTAGTGTCTCTACTTTAAAGAGTCCTCTCCTGCTGATGTTCAGGTGTATATCAGTATGTAGTGTCTCTACTTTAAGAGTCCTATCCTGCTGATGTTCAGGTGTATATCAGTATGTAGTGTCTCTACTTTAAAGAGTCCTCTCCTGCTGATGTTCAGGTGTATATCAGTATGTAGTGTCTCTACTTTAAAGAGTCCTCTCCTGCTGATGTTCAGGTGTATATCAGTATGTAGTGTCTCTACTTTAAAGAGTCCTCTCCTGCTGATGTTCAGGTGTATATCAGTATGTAGTGCCTCTACTTTAAAGAGTCCTCTCCTGCTGATGTTCAGGTGTATATCAGTATGTAGTGTCTCTACTTTAAAGAGTCCTCTCCTGCTGATGTTCAGGTGTATATCATTATGTAGTGTCTCTACTTTAAAGAGTCCTCTCCTGCTGATGTTCAGGTGTATATCAGTATGTAGTGCCTCTACTTTAAAGAGTCCTCTCCTGCTGATGTTCAGGTGTATATCAGTATGTAGTGTCTCTACTTTAAAGAGTCCTCTCCTGCTGATGTTCAGGTGTATATCAGTATGTAGTGTCTCTACTTTAAAGAGTCCTCTCCTGCTGATGTTCAGGTGTATATCAGTATGTAGTGTCTCTACTTTAAAGAGTCCTCTCCTGCTGATGTTCAGGTGTATATCAGTATGTAGTGTCTCTACTTTAAAGAGTCCTCTCCTGCTGATGTTCAGGTGTATATCAGTATGTAGTGTCTCTACTTTAAAGAGTCCTCTCCTGCTGATGTTCAGGTGTATATCAGTATGTAGTGTCTCTACTTTAAAGAGTCCTCTCCTGCTGATGTTCAGGTGTATATCAGTATGTAGTGTCTCTACTTTAAAGAGTCCTCTCCTGCTGATGTTCAGGTGTATATCAGTATGTAGTGTCTCTACTTTAAAGAGTCCTCTCCTGCTGATGTTCAGGTGTATATCAGTATGTAGTGTTTCTACTTTAAGAGTCCTCTCCTGCTGATGTTCAGGTGTATATCAGTATGTAGTGTCTCTACTTTAAAGAGTCCTATCCTGCTGATGTTCAGGTGTATATCAGTATGTAGTGTCTCTACTTTAAAGAGTCCTCTCCTGCTGATGTTCAGGTGTATATCAGTATGTAGTGCCTCTACTTTAAAGAGTCCTCTCCTGCTGATGTTCAGGTGTATATCAGTATGTAGTGTCTCTACTTTAAAGAGTCCTCTCCTGCTGATGTTCAGGTGTATATCATTATGTAGTGTCTCTACTTTAAAGAGTCCTCTCCTGCTGATGTTCAGGTGTATATCAGTATGTAGTGCCTCTACTTTAAAGAGTCCTCTCCTGCTGATGTTCAGGTGTATATCAGTATGTAGTGTCTCTACTTTAAAGAGTCCTCTCCTGCTGATGTTCAGGTGTATATCAGTATGTGGTGTCTCTACTTTAAAGAGTCCTCTCCTGCTGATGTTCAGGTGTATATCAGTATGTAGTGTCTCTACTTTAAAGAGTCCTCTCCTGCTGATGTTCAGGTGTATATCAGTATGTGGTGTCTCTACTTTAAAGAGTCCTCTCCTGCTGATGTTCAGGTGTATATCAGTATGTGGTGTCTCTACTGGGACATGTCTCCATGCTTTAATGTTCAGAAAGCTCTTTATTTTTCTCATACTGCCTGTGCTGCAGCACCTCTTTTCACCCTCTGTCTGAAACCAGCTTTGCAGACCACAACTACCTATAAAACACAACTGCAAAGGGGAAACCCCAAAAAGAATAAAAGGGCCTCTTTAAAGAAAAGAATAGTCTGATAGACTGGGTTTTATTTAGGCACAAATGACACTACACAGTCTTTGACAACATTCTCTTTATCTTATAATAAGCAGCTTATATTTAAGCCTAGTCACAACTTTAAGATACAGGAGCTACTGTGGCTCATAAACCAGGCATAGAGAGGGGCTGACTATAAATGTGTGTCCTCTAAATATTCAATTACCCACCCAAAGCTTAAATACTAGACAGCATCTGAAAGACGATTTATTTATGGCAAAACTCCGACACACCTCCAACAAAAGCAGAAACAAAAAAATAACTGGAGATATGTTCTTTTCACAGTTCCCCGCTGAATAATTAAGTAAATACTGAAATGAAATCCATTGTCACTGAAACATCTGAAATATAATGCAAGGTAAACAAGGCCTTGAAAAAATGCAGTTCTCTGATGTTACCTCTTGAGGTCTTCAGGCTTCCCCCATCCCCCAATGAAGAGTTTGGAGAGGAGCAGTCTCCTGTAAAAGACATCCAGTCGGCTTACACCCATGGACCAGCCCCTTGCATCTGCACAGAGACACACATTTATTTAGAGAGCATGCATATCGTAAACCCTTTTACATCACGATTCCAATCTATTATCAGGGAAATCCAATCAAGGTGCGTGCTATGGATAGTGAGTTTACTGATTATTAGTCACTGAAAATTAAGTGTGTATCTTCTGTGTGAAGAGGGGGGGAGAAGACCATAGATAGACTGTATAGAGTAGACTTTGTCTAGCAGGGGCTTTGGCGATCCCCAGGCTCGGCAATCAACACGTCAAAGCGTCCTTGGGCCAGAAGCTGTCAGATCCTGGACAGCAGTTATTTAGCAGTTCATTGCTTAACCGTAATATCTCACAGGAAAACCAAGCTGTGGTGTTCTTAAGCTGCTCGCTCGTGGTAGGCTGCAGGTTTTGTCAGACACGTAGAAAAGAAAATACTGGGAGAATAGCTCATTCTGCTTTTGATTTTGAATAGCATAGTTGAAAGCTCATTAGGATCAGTCCCTGTCTTGTAAAATGAAGTGTTGTCGAGAAACTTTAAAACAGTTGTTTTAAGTAGAACTTTTAACAGTTTCTATGTTAATCTACTCAGATAGATTCTGCCTCTTAATCTGCACTGTCCCCTTTCCTGTAACAATGTACATTTCCCCGCTGTTCGAAAAATAAAGAAACTTCTGAATCTATTCAAGTAAAAGTACCTCAAAATTGTACTCAAGTTAAGACTTAATTAAAAACAAATTAAACATTTAGTATGTAAAGTACTAAATGTACTTGAAGCTGGTCAGTTAGATATAAAGGATTTATGATGTGGTAACACAATAAGAATGTGTGCTACGATAGTACATAATTAAAATCAGAACACATGATGACATATTAAAAACATTACAAAAAGGGCAACATTAAAGTATTATATATATTGACATTGGAGGTGATGCGTCCTTGATTGTTTTCAACTATGGTAAAATAATTTGCCATTGCTTTGGCTACAGTAAGCGACTCTTTCAGTGGGAACTGTATAATGTATAAAGCACGTGCCCTGTCATGACTCAGATATTGACTCGTGCTTCTTGGCAGTCACCTGGACACTGGTTGGCCACGTGCACGTCTACTGTGTGCGGTCACACTTAGCTTAGAATTTTGTGGTAGCATTCAGATACGATGGAACTGTCCCGTTAACCCTGCACTGATGAGGAGTAGCGGGACGTACAGATACGCCATTTATATGGATGTAGTAAGGCAACGTTACAAAGCAGACAGTTATCAGAGTACTCAAAATGATAACGCGTAACAATTATATTTGTGACCTTTGTTATGCAATGTAACATCTCTGTAATATGACACCACATAGCACAATTCCGCTCTGAGTAAGGCTAAAAACTGTCCGTGGATGAACTGAGCTAAAGTAGGGAGCTAACGTAGCCTTGGTGATTGTTTGTTTTAGACCAGCTAACAGAATAACACCCGGACACACACACAGATAGTTGACAGAAATAGTAATGTTACACTACCTCAGGCTATACGCGTCTGTGTGTTATCCTTGTGGATTTGCTCGCACTCCTAGCTAACAGCTACCGTCCAGAGGGCGAATGACTGGACCAGACCAAGCCCCCCGGAAGTGCGCCGGACTCTGATGAGAATATTCGTTGTGGCCAAACGGCGGTACTACACTTCCGTTAGGTTGCTGGGTCCAGAAACACTTTTTCCCATTGACTTACATTGGGAAAGAGTGGTCTGTAAATCGTTGGATACTTTTTTTTAAACTAAATAAACTACCCAGTATGAACGTTTGTATAGCCCTTATTAAAAACATTCGGTCCTCAAGTTGTAAAATGTGCTAATAACATTATTCTGAGAGTTATTTCCCTCGGCATTATGAACGCGCATCTAACCCACGGGACCGCACCGCCCGGGACGTTCATGTTAGGTGTTCAGACAGTACTATGAGTACTACATGCGTTTTACCTTTACCCATGGATACCCAATAAGAACGGATCCATATCGCCTTACTGCTAGCCCACGGAGCTGTAATAATGGATATATTGCACATGTTTGCTGTAATTCATCATTTGTAAAATATTATAGCCTACTACATGGGCTGGGCTGTATGATGTAAATCGTGTACCGTAAATGTTGTATTAAATAAAGTTAATATTACCGACGTAGATTAACGTCCCTGTAGCTTCGTATTGTACTAAGAAGCTTATTGCACTGTATATATATTGATGTATGTATAAATATATGTATATGTATGTATATATATGTATATGTATGTATATGTATATATATATATATATATATGTATATATATATATATACATATATATATATATATAGTTTGGGACATTTGTTTTGCCAGTGATAACATGTAATAACAGTGATAACAGGCCTTCCATCACTTGCACCTCTCCTTTGCCTCTACAGGTATTTGACTGTGGGCCGTCATACCTGTCAAATAACATGACCACACATTTAATTTCTTGTTTTCTATATATATATATAATATGTGCCAAACACACGGGTCAATGCAGGTGCATTTCAAAAAGTGAAGATCTGTAATGAGGACCCAGCTCTGAAGAATAACACAAAGTGTTATAACCTAAAGCAAAACAAATGTCCCAAACTACAGGAAGTACTTGAGGAGTAGTGGAAACAAGACTACACTGTGCATGTTTGTGAGCAACTACATTGTCACTGCTGCCCCACAGAGACTACACTCAGGATTTGACGAAGGGGAGGAGGTGAAGAGCATCTGCACAGCAGGAGTCAGCAGTTTGACATCACTGTACAGTGATCAGGAGACACAAGGATGGAGCTCCATGCCATACATCTTGCAGAGTCATATTCCCGCATCATTGTGAGGTCTGATGGCACAGGTGTGGAAGTACTGTTCATATATTATGCAAGCAAATACATGTTTGGTTCATCTCTAGTGTACATGCATGCAGGCCATGGAATGAGAGAGAGATATGTCCCCATCAACACCATACAGTATGTGAGAACATTGGAAAATACATAATAATAATAAATTGTATTTGTAAAGCATTGCTAAAAGCAATCCCAAAGTGCTACAGGAGGCGTAAGAAACAAACAAAAATAAACAAAAGTTTAATCAAAGGCTTTTTTAAAGAAAGGTTTTTAGGCCTTTCTTAAATGCGTCAGTGGTCTGTGGAGTCCTCAGGTGGTCTGGGAGGGAATTCCACAGGCGAGGAGCAGCTGCACAGAAAGCTCGATCCCCCATTGTGCGGAGTTTGGTCCTCGGGGGGCGAAGCCGATGGTTGGTTGTGGAATGGAGGTTGCGTGTGGAGATTTGTGATGCGAGTAGTTCTTTTAGGTATGAAGGAGCATTCCCGTGGATGCACTGATGGGCGAGTAGTGAGATCTTGTATTCAATCCTGAATGAGACAGGAAGCCAGTGGAGGGAATGAAGGACGGGTGTGATGTGGTTGTACTTTCTCACCCTCATCAGGATCCTACCGGCACTGTTCTGTAAATATTGGAGCTTCTGAAGGTTCCTGCTAGGAGTCCCGCTAGGAGTCCCACTAGGAGTCCCGCTAGGAGTCCCGATGAGGAGAGCGTTACAATAGTCAAGCCTTGAGGAAACGAAGGCATGGACCAGTTGTTCAGCATCTGACAGGAGTTTTGCAATGTTCCTGAGGTGGTAGTAGGAGGTTTTGCACAGGTGTTTGATGTGGGTGTCAAAGGTCAGATGTCGGTCCAATCTTACACCCAGGTTGGTAACTGATGTGGAGAGGGGTATGTTTTGGCCAGAAAAGGTGATGTGGGTTATGGGGGATGACTGGACCTGGTTTGGGGTGCCAACTAAAATAGCTTCTGTTTTGGAGCTATTAAGCTGCAGGAAGTTTTGTTGCGTCCAAGCCTTTATCTCCTCGATGCAGGTGTTAAAGGATGTTGATGGGAAAGGTGACGATGATGGTGACAGTGAGGATGCATGTGGGATAGGGTCTGTCTTTATATATAGCTGTGTGTCATCAACGTAGCAATGGAATGATATTCCATGCTGGCTGATGACACGGTCAAGGGGCAGAGTGTACAGGGTGAACAGAGTGGGCCCGAGGACCGATCCTTGAGGGACACCATAGGTGACAGGGTGTGTCTGGGACCTCGCACCTCCCAAGGAGTCGTACCCTGTTCTTCCAGACAGGTAGGACTGGAACCAGCTCAGGGCGGAGTCAGAGTCCGATGGTGTATTGGAGGCGCTGAAGGAGGATGTTATGGCCGACAGTGTCGAATGCTGCAGTCAGATCCAGGAGAATGAGGAGAGATGGGGAACCAGGTTCAGCTTACATCAGCAGGTCGTTTGTGACCCTGACCAGAGTTGTTTCAGTGCTGTGGGCGGAACGGAAACTGGACTGGAATTTCTCAAAAAGGCTGTTTAGTTGGAGATGGTCCTGAAGCTGGGCGGCAACTACAATGATGTCTACCAGCATGTCATGCACTCACTGGCTGTGGCACAACAAGTAGTTTGTACAGAATAGGGAAGACAACAGCATTCACCAAACTCAAGACCCATCTCAGCGAGCTCAAAGATCTGGCCCATTTTGGACTCTCTGCCAGCTTGGAAGAGTCTTTGCCAGTCGCAAGAGAATTTGCGCTTCTGCTATATGGAAAAAAGGAAATTGGACTGATGTGCACACACTTGGATGAACTGAGGTTCATAATTGCATCAACAACAGATGCAGCCTCGGAAAATCTGCCGCCAACAGAGGATACATTTCAACAACATGTGCAAAGAGCAATGTTTCAGACAGCGATATGGTGTCCCAGCCCGAACCCAAACCCTTGTTATGGAGTCCTGTTGGCAAGGGGTGGATTGTCAGAGATGGGGCCATTCAACCAGTGCTATTTGCAAAACCCCAGCACCTACAGAAGTGAGAGACATTACTCACTTGTATTGCAAAGATGCAAAGTGTGGAGAGAGTGGAAAGTGCCAGTGCCTCTCTGTTGGCCTTCCCTGTACGGAGTTCTGCACCTGCTGTGCAGAATGTCAAAATGTGTCCCCTAACGTTTCTGAGGAACCTGACATTTAACATTATATTCTAGTATCTATATACTTGACCTCTCACAGAATTATTTGATGATTTGTATACTGTACGTTGAATTAAGGTTCAGGTTTCAATAAAACCTGTACTATTTACACCTATGTTTTAGAGGCTTGCCATTTAGAACTAATACACTTTATTGTATTGGGTTACTCATATTCTGACTATTTGGTGATGTAGTTCAGCCACCTGGTATTTCCCTCTTCAAATATAATGACCATCAGAGTGAGCATTCTTAACTTATAGGCTATTGTGCCACTTCTCCCCCATTTGGAGTTTGACTGTCTCAGAGAAGAGGTAGGCCTATGTCTAAAGAAATCTCATTTGCAATAGAACTGTACCAGATATTTCCATACAACTACTGGTTAGTGTTCAATAGCACCCTAGACAATTCAGTAATGGTATATTTTTTAGGGATTAGTTTTTCTGATAAATGAGAGAAAAGTGATGGAGTCCTATGTTCCTATCACCAAAAAGTACAATTTCCGTCTAAACTAAAGCTAAGTTTACAGGGCTATAATTCAGTATTTATTTAGTTAAATAATTGTCTGACTATTTGGTGATGTAGGACAGCCACCTGGTTCATACCTCAGCAAATCTGAAGAGGAAAAGAGTGATAATTCTCAAGTTATGTCACCTTTCCCACATTCGGCTCGTCTAATTTGGCTCTTTTTCAGGGATTTGGGTAGTTCTAAAGAACAATCAAAAAAAAATGTATTCCCCCAAAATAAAATTTGACAACAATCAATTTCATTAATAGGAGGCCCTAAAGATAGGAGAAATCATTGTTGTCATTTGTTCTACCTCGGGTAGGGGTATCTCTAAATCTGAGGGCCCTTCCTGCTAGACTAGTGATACACGGTCAATCGAGGTTTGGTGGTTGTGGGAACATAAGTAATTATTTCCAAAATATTAGCAATATATATGTTAATAGAAACATAGCTACAATAATTAGCTTTTATTTTATGAAAATCTAGTAGGCTAATGTTTTTTTCTAGATGTTATCCTTTTAGAGCAGACTGTAGCGGATTATTACAGATGCAATCCATCTGCAGTACAGCAGGCGATGGCTCTGATAATATACATTCACATCTTAATTGCCCAGACAAATTGGGTTAGTGTTACCTCTCGTTAGTCCATTGCTGCCTCAGTGCTGACTTTCCCCCCAACATATAGCAGACTTATGTGGATTAGCTTAATGTAAATCGTTTTTAAATCTAATTATGGGCAGTAGATTGGTTAAATTATCTGCTGTGTGATTTAACTTTGCTGTGGATTAGGTCAGAAGAGATAATGTTCACCTTATCACTTTGTCTCAGTAACATCTATTATAAAGGGACGCAGCTACTTGCATAGCAGAAATCATAGATACTGTATGACAGCTGGGGCCATTCTCACACTGAAAGATGCACAAGAATATTTTAGACAACTGTGTGCTTCAACCTTGTGAACTTGACTAGATAAATGTTATGAAAACTATTATTAAATCAAACAATGTGTATAGGAAATTCTCAAAAAAGAAATACAATAGACATGAGAGATAAGAATATGACAAATTAGGCAATGGATTAAAAA